TTTCTCAAATTTGAAGAAATGTTTTCCTGGAAAGCGCTTTGGGTCCGGTGGAGATGTTGAGAATGTTGTAGTTGTATATTTTGACAGCCCTCCAGGCTCCCACTTCCAGGAAGGAATCTAAATGTTAGAGAAACGTTGGTTCAGGTTTGTTGAATTCGAAAGGAATTATGTAGAAAAATAGAGTAATTTTTCACCTGGAAACCGCAGCCTTTTTATGTCGGGTCGAGTCTTTTTACCTTACAGCCTGACTATCAGACGTCAGCCAAGGGTTCTGCGAAGCTTGAGCAGCGATGTCGTTGCGAGACCATAGTATCTAGAAGAGTCTCTGATCTAATATACAAAATCATCATTGCTTGCGATCCATTTATCTTTGCTTCCTCGATAAGACTATTTCTGTGTGCAATCAACAAAATATGCAAATCACCGACGTCGATGTCCGAACCTACGACAACTGGATACGCATATCATCTTCGGATGTTCGGCATTAGCAGGTATTATGTAAGAATAGCCTCGAGGTGTCTGGCCTGGTTGTTATGTGTGTATGTTCTTCATTCGAGCTCATCGACCTCTCTATTTCCACCAAGGCACGATTAACCTTTCTCGGATCGTCCGCCATGATTCAAGTTCATCAGATGCAGCGAATCTGCCGCTTTCGCTCTCGATCGGCAGAGTCAAGGATGATTATAGCCAAAGGGCATAGCAGTTGCTGTGATGAGCTGTTGCATAATGTGATGCTCGTTTGGTTATATGCATTTGGGATGGTTAGCATACTTGGGCACACCTTGTATAATCGATCTTTAAGCTCTTTTTCCTAGTGCCATACCTATTTAGTCTTCACGCCATGGAAATATAATATCTACAAAAAAATCGAAATCCTTTGAATGCTATATACAGGGTGTGACTCTATGACTTTAGGGAGGCACTGTTCCGTGTACCACTTAGCTGTGACTGTCTTCTGTGTGTCCAAAATGAGACGCTCCACAATCCCGCTCGATTTGAAATATACAGCTATAATTTTTTTCTTAACAGACACGGATTTTCTGACAGCTTCGGGTGTGTCCTCATCACCAGAGACCCAAACTTTGCTTTGAGCCTTGATCGACACATCGTAATAATAGAGCCAAGTGTCGTCACCTGTCACGATGCTGTCGCATACCGAGATTACCCCTTATCAAACATTTTCAGCATCTTTCGGACCAAGTCGTACGACTCGTCTGGTGCTCTTCCGTCAGACTATGCGGTACCCAGAGAGAAGAAAGTTTCCTTACGTGTAAGTGGTCATGCAGAATTGAATGAATTCTTGGTGCATGCAGGTGTAAGAACTCCTCTATCTGTTGGTATGTCACTCTCCGGTCTTCGTCAACCATTTTCCTCACAGCAGTAATGTTTTCATCTGTTATTGACGTTTGTGGCCTTCCTTCCCTCTCAGCGTCCTCCAGAGTGAAATTGTCCCTTTGAAATTCTCTGTACCACCTGAATATAGTCTTACGATGAGGACAATCATTCTTTAATGCAAACGCCATTTCTTCTAAGCACTGGTCTATGCTTAAACCACGCTTAAAGTGATACCGTAAAACATCCCATATCTCACTATGTGACCATGATGCCATAGTCCCCACTTCACACTGTCAATACCAATGAACAACTAAATATACAGACGTGCTGCTGGCGGCTACTATGCACTCATGGAGAGGTCTCAACATGCAGCATGCAGCCTCCTGCGTCCGATTGTTAAGTCATATTGCAAAGCTTTTATACTACCCTTTGTATTTTCATAATGGTGGCAATTCCGGTATGTCTGTTGCAGATGCATTGTATATCATCCTATATCTACGTAAATGTAAACAAATGTGTTGTAATGTTTTTTTCGTGTTCTCCATCGTTATATGAATTATAACGGGTTTCTGGTAGTAGGAAGTTTACTGTATTAAAATTTATTCCGAATTTGGATAACAAACAGTACAGGGTGGTCCAAAAAGAAATGAAAGATATTTTTTAGAAATCCCAAAAAGTATGTCGATCTTTTCAAATAATTTCACCGTATTGAGCATTGAAGGTTAATTTTGTAGAAGGTTGTCTACTTCACAAATCAGTAAGTTTCTGAGATACATGAAAATATGGTTTTCCTCTTGCTTAAATGCTCCATACGGCTCATGAGATAACTCAGTTATGTAGCATTTAAACAATAAAAAAGTCAATATTTCCATGTATCTCGAAAACTATTAATTATTAAAGTAGGCCTTATACGAAATTAACGGAATTTTTGGGTTTTCTAAAATCTAATTTTCATTTCTTTCTTTGACCACCCTGTAGTATTTGTTAACCAAATTCGGAATAAAATCTATTAAAGTAATTCCCTTTTACAAGAAACAGAAACAAATCATGTGGCAAATGTAAGAATACAGAAACTGTTTTAAAGTGGTTTGCATTTGCCTTTGTTTATGCAAAATTTGAGATATTTCAAAAACAATTAGACTTAGGTATAGGATGATATACATTAAATGCATTTAGAATCTGGCGTAGAATCCAATCTGTGATACCCTGTATAGGTGCATCACGAATGCCACTTATTCCCGTCAGTCTGTGAACCTTAGCCCTTCTATAACTTGGAAAGTTCCACTAGGAGTTTGATGAGATTCTGACTAAATGAAAAGATTTGGGCAAAAACTAAAAAACAGAAATCACTCTTTAGTTCTTTCCATTTCCTAAGCTAAGATAATTTGTCATTTTAACAAGAGTCATATTTCAATTTATCCATATCTTCACACGTGCATCGCATTGAAAAGCAATTTCAGGATACCACGAAATAAAAAATCACTAGAAACTAATCTACAGTGTGTTAATAACATATAGTTCTAATATCATACTGAAAAAAAACTTCCTTTTACTTAGAATATTATTATTAGTATCATGTTAGGTAAGTTAATGTGTGCAGGGTGATTATTATTTCAATTACAGTAATCGTATGTTGATGAACGACTCCATCCTAGGTGTTTAAATATAAACATTCACCTTATCTTCTTCATGCTAACGATGTTATTAGTTCGATTACTTATGAGAAACACTTAGTAAATGGAAAGTGAATAATCTAAGCGACCTCATAAGAAAACCCATTGAATATATTTTGGACTATATGGCATTCTTATTTTAAATGATTGAACCCTTGCGTAGTCTCTGGACTATCCTTCCTGAATTTACGCATCCTTATTCGATTCGTATGTAGCTTTGACAATTCGCAGCATTTAATCAAAAATCAAAATTTGACTGCCAAGTGTAAACCGCTGTCAAATTGACACATTTGTCCCATGGCTACTGCTATTCAGCATAATAGCGCTGCCTCGCTGGACCGCTTCCCATTGGCAGAACACGCTCGATATAAATGACGTCTAGTAGGTTGACTTTGCACTTCCCACAGTGCACAAGTTAGACCCTCTAAGAAAAAGTTAGTTACGAACATGTATAACGGATCAAGTCATTCAAACAGGTCCATACAATTAGTCCACGGGCATTCTTTCCGTGCCCGGTAGTCTATCTGGCAACGTCGCCCCTCCCCATACCTTAACCGGTCAGACGCGGCAGCGCAGCAGTATTTTCAGAGCTCTCACCAAGACCGGGAGCGCAGACTATATCTCTGATGTTCTATGGTTTAAGGGCAAATATACGGAGAAATGTGTGCGTAGATTTACCGAGGTTGGGAGCGTATAGATATACTAACATCAATAAAAACGAAGATTTAGTGATTTTAATTTTTTTACTTTTTTCCTACGTCACTGGACCGATTTTAAAAATTGCAAAGCTTTTTCGTCATTAGCATAGTAGTAACATTGTGTAAAAATTTTATCCAAATCCGAGCAGTACTTTCCCAGTTATAAGGGGTTCAAGGATTATCGGATATACCGACAGACAGACCGACGGACAAACTGACCAATATACAGACAGATCGACGGAAATCAGTGACATGGTTTTTTCTTGATGTACATGTCATATAAACATTTCTCATTTTTGAAATTTTCCGCGATTATCCTTCCTCGCCAGTGGGCGTCGGAAGTAAAACCGCATTCAGCGGCTTACCATATTTTGACATATCAAGCGTCGAGATGAATCGGCTGTTTCAACTGGTTCTGAAAGCGGCTGACGCCTAAAGCACGTGCTTTATAATTTTTGATGTTTCATCGCAAAGTAGTTCGCATTCGTGTGCATATCCCGAGCTGTCAAGTTTGAATCTTATGCAGATAGCTTAGGTTAAGATATTTGTATTCTGGTCGTACTTTTGAAAAATGGTTTAATTTTTAAAAAAAACATGGAACATCAGAATCTGGTATAAAAAATAGGTTAAGGGCATAGATCGCATATGCTTGATGTTTCGATGTAATGTGTCGAAACACTGTCAAAAGCTTCAGCAGTTTAATGCTACAGTGGGTATTACGTAACTCCAACATTATTATGGTTCTTTGTTACATCATGTAGGTTTTAGTACAACTTGAAACTAGCTTTCGTTCACTTCATGCTCACTTGTAGCAAGCGCGAAATGAACTATTTACATATCCACCTAACTAGTCAAGATATTGACATTTTATCGATTTTTTTCGATATTATATAGGTTTTTACGAAATAACGCTGCCACTCTTATAGCTGCTTTTTATGGGATAGACACAAGTAATGGCATTTAAAATTGTATTCCCATCAGTTTCATTATGTCTGTTTGACAACTGAACTTTAAATTTCAGAATATTTGAAAAAATTAAGGAATAAGTAATATTGAGTAGGGCTCCCCTTGACTGCCTCAATAATTGCCATAAAATCGGAAAACGTCTTCCACTGTTAACTGAAGAAAAACAACCAACCAATGATAAAAAAAAACAAAAAATGTTGTATGGAACGATAAAAAAGAATTTTTGGAATGTTTTAAGAAATTGTTATAAACTTTGGACGCAATTTTGGGACTGGCAACAAGAGTAGTATCAGAATAGTCATAGCTGATAGGTGTTTGGTGTAATCCAAAGCTCACGTATGATGCAAAATGGCAGAATGAGCCTGGATAATAATGCATGTTATATTGTTCCAGAAAACCTGGCCCCGTCGGAGCTGAAAAAGCTGCGCAACAAGCAGCGCAAAGCGAAACGGAAAGCTGAACGGGAAAGTCAACAGGCTCGGGAGGCGCAAGTCAAACGGGATCAGCACAACAAGTCCCGGCAGCAACAGGCGGATGCAGCGTCGGGAGGAGGGGAGCCGGACGCGCCGCAATTGGACGAACTGGTGCCTGACAAGTTGGCCAGGGTAATATTCAGTGTTTCTTAAACTTACATTCTATTTTACAGTTTTTTATAAGTAAAACTTGGGCGCCTATTTGCCTAATCAAAGAGGAAAATACGCCTGGTTTGCTAAATAATTGTAAAGTCTGGTTTTATTGTTAAGTTGTTCAAGGGGGTATTTAAAACATGGACGCATAAAATGGGACATTTTTCGGGATTCAATCCAAAGTGTTGGCAGGAACGGAAAAACTCTTCAAATAAGATTTTTAGGTACTTATGAGACCACACGTAAAAATATACCACTAATAATAAAAAAGTTATGGCCGAAAACCGAGACAAAATGCAGGTTTTGGCACTTGTTGCTAATGCGACGATAATTTTCCGCAGCTACGTGAGATTCTTTAAATCCGTAGGCCTCGTACTTCTAAATAACCACAACAAAATTCGAGTCGATTGGTCAGGTAGTTTTTGAGAATTTCTAATTGTTTATCCCAAAACACCTATATTCCGGCCATCACTACTAGTTTACTGAGCGATATACAGGGTTCGTTCAAAGTGCATTTTATAGCAAAATACACGTATTTACCTTGCCGACGTAAATCACAAACCATTTCGAAAGATAATTATTATTTTTATGCGAAAAACGAGGGGTTACGTTTTTGTTTCTTCTAACCAAATTCAAACATTTCGTATATGTGAGTAACTGAACAGATTCGCTACGATATTCAAAAATCATACGTTATTATACACATTTTAAAACAAAGCGGATGTGTCGATCACCTTTTGTTACGAAGAAAACAATTTTTTTTTTAAGATGTCTTCATACTCTTGTGTATACATATTTAGACCTGAAATTTGTACACGGTCATAGATGAACCTTAAAGTTTATAAAAAAATATTCCAAACTGAAATGCGCTAAACTGTTTGCAAAGTTAGTACGCAAACTGAAGACAAGATTTAGTAGATTGTGCTAAAAGACTTCATTATTGATGACTGTCACATAAGTAGGTCTCGTAATCCAGTTTCTTTACGAAGAAATATAATTTTCTAAACTTTTTACTCTAACAGTATTAATATAGTATACGTCTGTTTTCGAAATATCGTTCGATTAAAACGACTGCGAGAAAATGCTGGAAATTAAAGTCGAGAAAACGAACAAACAGTAGACAAATATCAAGCAATTATAAAGAACTTAAAAATTAGGCTAAATGCTCGTTATTAGTCCCTAATATATTATTTAAACATTCAACATTGTGTCTTGTAAACCAAGAGGCGTCGTACCGTAATGGGAATGATTGACGATTGCAGAACCGCAGGACGAAGGTTCGAATCCACGAAGCTCCTTTTTTCTCTATTATTTTTTTTAATTTGGAGAAATGAATTATTTTTCACCTTATGTATTTTCGCACAAAAATTGGTGTACCCATCTTATGCATTCATGTTTTAAATACCCCCTTGAACAACTTGCATCAATAAAATCCGACTTTATAATTATTTCGGGTAAATTTGATTAGACTAATTAAACTTAAGATCAATTGACTATATTGGTCCGAAAATCTACAACATTTTGCCGGGGACACTGAGGATGATACATAACTTAACATTGTTTAGTTCAGAGTGTAGATCATTTGTTGTGGCAAACCATGATAGGTTCATAGCTCTTTGCTAGCTAAATATGCAAATTATGATAATTTTTTTATGTTTTTTTTTTTAGGAATTTTTGAGTTGGTTGATTTTTGTCCTTGTTTAAGTGGCTACAAAGTAATTGGCATGAAATTATAATTATATAGGTTGTCAAATAATTATTTGACCTGGATTTATTTTGTTTTACTATTTTATTATTAAAATGTTACATTACACATTATTCAAGATTGGTGCATACGGATATTAAGTTATCTAGGTACCACATAAGAAAAACTATGCATGTTTTATTTTAGTGTAATATATAAAACCATTGTACGAGTATATATCGCCATCACTTTGTAATATTGTATTGTAAACAAAATAATTAGGGATGTCAAGTGTCGGCCAGTTCTGGATGTACAACGTTCGTCAGAATGAGGATGGAAGGCCTGACGAGTCCGGTGAGATAACGGTAGATGAGGATCAGAAAGCCCACCGCCCCTCGTGAAAGGGACCAGAGACAAAGTAGTCGGCGCGACAGCACCCCAAACATGTGTGTAGTAATCGAGGCAGCGCCTTATCTGGGTCTTGTATAGACTGAGGAAGTTATGTGAAAAAAGTGCTTCTTGACAGAACACCGAGGACTTGATTTGACACGAACACATCTCGTCAATAGCGGCAGCTGCTGAGAAAAAGCTAGGCTTTTTGTTTTGGGCTGAAAAGTACTTTTGTCCACATGACCTTCTCACTCTATACAAGGCCCAGAAGACCTAGCCTTGAGTACTACTTACACGTTTGGGATGCTGCCGCCGCAACTACATTCTCTCTGGACCGTTTCGCATTTCTGATACTCTTCTGCCGCTATCTAAACACTCATCAGGCGTCTGCCTCTGACGAACATTGCACATCCAGATCTGGCGGGTACGACAGCTTCTTTGTTCCTATGGTGTCTAGTTTATGTAACAATCTGCCAGTTCTGCTAACCTTAGGCACTTAAAAATTCGTATAAACAAGCTGTCTTAAGCTACAAATAGCAGTGACGCTGACTCGGTATTTAGGTTTCTGCCAACGCAGTAGCATTATTAAAAAAATGGTAGTAGTTTAACTCTGCACCTCACACGCAACGTCGTTATCAGTTCATAAAGTATTATGTTCAGCAGAAACTAGAACACCTTCGAAAATATAGTTTTTAAAAACCAAACACAAAAAATTTCTTTCAGGACAAGTCAAAATTTATATAGTACAATGTAACAGTCCCTAGGTCATACTGTACATAAAACAATTTTTTTCTTTCTCTTCACGCTCTTCCTTTATTCCTCTCTCTCTCTCCACCCCCTACAACCCCTAGTTTTTTACTCTAAACAAATATTATCAGGATTCTCTGAAACGTCAAAAAACGAAGTTTGAGCGATTTTTATTCTGTTTTGTTTTTGGTCCTTTTCTCTGCCGCCACTGGACCGTTTTTCAAAAACTACAAAGCTTTTGCGTCCTTGGCATATAGTACTAATATTGTGTAAATTCGAAAATAAAAGTGGTACTTCTCAAGCTATACTCGCTTATAAGATTAGCGAGCAGACCGACAGACATACAGACTGACGGAAATGAGTGACATTATTTTTTGTGGGAAGTAAAAAACAGTTATCTTATAATCTATTATAAATAATAGTAGATCTGTTTACTTGGCTGTGTTCTCGTCGCAGTACCTAACAGTAACGAACTACTATAACACTGATGTGTAACCAAACTACACAAAATGCGAATACATAATTTCAAATTAGGCTGTCAGTAATTCTCCGGATGCTCCTCTATAAACTATTCAGTAATTTTTACGTTATTTTTGTTATAGGTGGAGGACCCCTTAGATCAAGCAATAAAGTTCCTTCAGCCTCTTCAAAGATTAGCAAACGATCGAATAGAAACACATTTAATGGCTTTTGAAGTGTATTATAGGAAAAGTAAGTAAGCATGGAGTTACAAATAAAAATGCAAACATTCGTATTGAAACATAATTTGAAACCCTCTGTTTTATTTTAGAAAAAGTACTGTTGATGCTGCAATCATTGAAGCGGGCGCACAAAGTGGAGCCTCGCAATCCTCGCCTACACAGTTGTTTAGTACGTTTTTACCAATATGTACAGAATGTCAAAGATAGCTGGGATCCTAGAATAGAAGAGGTAAGATAAATATTTGCATTTTCGTCATTATCCGTTCATATACGGCATGTTGATCACATTTTTTGTAGAATCAAATCTATTCTCAAAAAATAACACAAAAAACATGAGTTTCACCACTTCTACCTACTTCACCTTTATGGCGAATATTTAATCTAATCATATTAGACGAAATTACCCCTGGTTTGCGAAATAACTGTAAAGTCTGGTTTTATTGCTGCAAGTTGTTCAAGGAAGTGTTCAAAACATGGAAGCATAAAATGTGTACACCAATTTTTGTGGTAAAACTTTTTATTCGACAATGAGGAAACGTGTTTTTTGGGATTCAATCGAAAGTTTTGACTGGAACGGAAAAACGCTTCATATAAGGTATTTATGAGATCTATAAAATGAGACCACACGTAAAAAGATCCGACTAATAGCAAAAAAGTTATGGCCGAAAACCGAGGCAAACTGCAGGTTTTGGCACTTGTTGGTAATGCGACGATAATGTTTAGCTCTGAGTTTAGTTTACATGATCTAAATCAATGTCGTAGCGAAAGTGTAATCAGGTCGTGGGTCAGGAAGTTCGATTCTGTCGGTTCGACACTGAATCAGAAACCTGCGGGGCGTCCAAGGTCAATACGAACAGAGGAAACTGTAAGCGCAGTTGCGACGTCCGTACGGCGCGATCCACAGTTATCATCCCGAAAGAGATCATCTGAGCTCGCCATATCAAGAACAGCTGTAAGGCGTATTTTGGTAAAAGAGCTTAAATTTCACCCAAATAAACTTCAATTAGTGGAGGAATTGAAACCGCAGGACAACCATCTACACCGTGCGTTTGCCGAAAAAATGTTACAGAGCTTTCCAAGTTTGAACCATATACTATTTTCTGATGAAGCTCATTTTCATTTGAGTGGATTTTTCAACAAGCAAAATTACCGGTATTGGGCCGCAGAAAATCCCAAACCAAACACTTTGCATTCGCGTTATGTTACAGTTTGTGCGGCCATGTTGGCTGAAGGAATCATCGGATCCTATTTATTTGTAAACGAGCAAGGCCAGACTGTAACAGTAAATTCTAAACGCTACATAACAAACTTTTTCTTTCCATAACTGCATAATTTTGAAGCCTACCATAGCAGGATCTGGTTTCAATAAGATGGCGCGACATCCCATACCGCCAACGAGTCTTTAGCAGTTGTAAACGAAATATTTAGAGGAAAACTGATATCGCGACGAGGGGACATTCCGTGGCCTCCCCGGAGCCCAGATCTCACGCTGCTGGATTTTTTTCTCTGGGGATACATCAAGAGCCGCGTTTACACCAATAAACCGATGACGATTGCCTAGCTCAATCACCACATTTCCGAGGAGATGTACGCTATCCTACGAGCGGTATGCCAGCGAGTTTTCATGAATTCGAGATTCGAGACGATGTTATTTTTAAAAAATAAAATTCCCATGTTTCTACTTTATTAAAAGTATAAATTATCTTCCCTACGGCTTGTAGTTTTTTTCAATGATTTTTTAAAATTCGCTGAACTTAATGGCCCACCCTGTATAAGCTTCATTACGCAATTTAAAAATCGGTCCGATGTTAGGTATTTTTTAATAGGTAACTTATGATTTAGAGCTTGCTTTAAATCATAAGAGTTAAAATCGTTGAGATAGTGTGGATTCCAGTTCTTAGTAAAACTGATTTTCTCAACGTTTTATAATTAAAAATTATTGCCATAAGCAACTAAATAAACACCAGGTATAGTAGACTTTTTTTACTTCTACATCCATTAAGAATTTTTTAAATGTGTTATGTTTATACTTGTAAGATTGCAATTTTCTAATTCGATTGGGTTGCGCCTATTGTCATTTTTATGAATATTTATAAGTTCTTTCTATTTGTGTGCATATTTTATTTCATCCTTGAAACGTATATTCGTTTTATTATTGTAATTTTCTCAGGTGGTGCAAAAGGAAACGCAAATCTACTTCGACGGCAAAGATGCACACCATCTGAACAGAGACTTCCTAGAAAGCAACAAGGACAGCCTAAGAGCGGTGTTTGAATGCGCCAAAATGATGGTTCATCTAAATGACAAGAATCAACATGAAGCCGTCAGCTTACTGGTTACCAATGTCGACAATAATTATAGAGATGTAGATATTCCTGTGAGTATATTGTTATCTGTATAATATCTTGGTTATGGTTGTTACAGCTTGCAAATCCCCCAGAACAGTACAAACTTCTGGAATTCGCCAATTTTTATCATTCGAACTCTTACTTCGTTCACTACGTCAAAAAAAATTAAAATGTCCTCCAATAGTATGGGTTTAAGCTGCAGTTTCACCAAAGTTATACCAAAAGAAGACAGTTAGTCAAGGCTAATAGAGATAGGCTGATCAAACCAGAAACATGGCATCCACAAAACTGTTGATGGCGTCTAACCACGTTTTGTTATTTGGAGAGAGATGAATGCGGTGTTGCCATATAGATAATTGGATGAATAGACCATCATTTGTAACGAAATTTTTGGTCAAATTTATTTTTGTTTTACAGTCTTTGAAATATATTTTTCATTCAATATGTATGTTGTACAATCACAAGACATTCCAATATTCTTCCACGTTAACCAACTGATTAGTTAACTATTAGATTCAGTATTCATATTTTAGAAAATGCGATAGTTTGTATCAAATATTTTCTAGTCTTCCATAAAAAACGTGGCAATGTCTGAAGTAGCAACCGCGTTAAGGTTTAGCTTACGCAGTATGCATTTTCCATAGGGAGGTCAAGCTTCGCAATTAGTACGGTTATGACAAATCTGTTTACTTATTCCATATGACATTGTGACGTAATAGTAATCCTTAAAATAACTGTACTCCATTAAATGTAGCAGCTTCTGAACATTTTCTGTCAGTTTGGCAGCACTGTATGAACGATTTCTCGGTAGATACCAAGCCATCTATGAGCGAATCGCTAAACCAAGGACAGCTCGCTTATAGATGAACGAAGCCGGTCGCCAAATTTTAACGGCATCCCACGATGTGGCCACTCTTGGTATAACTCTCTACATCTCTGCAGAGTGGCTATCCGATCTATGCCTGTGCGTTTGGGGAACGAAGACTAGCAGCGGCTCTGACGAGAGACCTTTAGGTTATTACAGCTGGGGGACGTAACAATTTTGAACAGTTTAATGCTTCCAAAACACTGTACCCTGACTAATAAGAACTGTCCTAGTGTGCATCTGGTTTCGATGGTTGACCGAGTTCAACCAAAGAGCCGTTCATTTCGGCTGGTCGGAATCCAGATCACCGAGGACTTGATCTGGTACAAACGCATCTCGTCAAAAAAGTACTTTTCTCCAGACGGCCTCGTCACTCTATACAAGACCCAGATAAGACCCTCGAATACTGCTCACATGTTTGGGGTGCTGAGGCCTCGAGTACATTATCCCTGTTCGATGCTGTTCAGAGGAGGGCTGCCTGATTCATCGATGCCTCTTCTCTAACGGTCACCCTCGGGACTGTTTCGCACCGGCGGACCATCTGCGCTATCCCAACGGGTTTTGCTCCTCAGAGGTTTCCTCCATGATGCCGCCACGCGATGTGCCTGCCAGACATTCCCACCTGACTTCGGCCTACCATCCTAACCATGTCAAACTCCGTACATCAAGAACTGGCCATACAGCCGCTCCCCTGTCCCTAGGGTATCGAGATTGTAGAACAGTCTAAATGTGGAGGCTTTTCCCAGTTCTACTATTCTCATGTAGTTCAATTAACAGTTTCTTCAAACTCCTCATTGCAGCCGCCTTGGCTTTTAGCTCTGCGCGGCTGCTTCGGTGTAAAAAAAATAACAACTACGCTTTGGTACTGTGGTGGCCCCATCTCCAACTTAAATTGTCCCACTGCTTCAAACACTCAAAGAATATTCTATCAGTTTTTTCTAAAAACAATTGAAATTATTTTTCCTTATTCCAGTTATGTACAGAAATCCTAGAGTCTCTCCGGAACGGCGACCTGGGCCAGGTGGAAGACAGCGTGATAGAAGAATATTGCCAACTTTGTCGCGCGCGCTTCCCGTGCGCGGCCGCTTTCAAGCCGCCCAGGCAGGCAACATCGGATGACGACAGCGCCGCCCAAACGGAAGGAGGCGGAGATTCGGCGACGCCCACGGGAGAGGCGGAGCGATCGCCGACTAATCACATCAGCGATGGCAATGAGGTGGATCAACAGCGCAACTGATGACGTTCGAACGCAGTGCGCGCTGTTACGTGCGCTTCAGACGATCGATAGTGTTTTATAATTGCTATCATTATTCATTATGATGATAATGAAGACTTTATATTAAAATATGACTAATAGAAATGAGTGACGGAGCGGGTCGAATGGTCAAAAGGAGATGTACGCTGCGTGTCAAGATTGAAGGGATGAGTTTGGGTGAGGTATGTAATCTGATGCATTGAGGGTGGAAAAAATGTCAATGTAACAATTTGTCGATTAGTTTCAATATTCGTGAGCTTTAAACTGATTATGTATCTCGCACCAAAAGATTGAACATGAGGGTATCTTAACTGGAAGATATCATTCATCTAGGTTGTAACACGTATGGTTTTAGTCAGAGGTGGATATGAATTAATTTTGTAACCATACCAGTAAAAACCTATTTGATTCTCCGTTAAGCAAAATTGGAAAATCAGGACTATGCCAGGAAAATTATAGTATTTTTCAATTTACCTTTATTGGTCATACAAGGATCATAACATAAACGTAAATCAAATACTCTATTCCAGACGTATATCTTTACGTAGTTTTATGTTATCATTTGGACTTATAAAAATTGTGAAAGAGGTGATTTTACAGCTGGGTATCTGATGCTTCGTAAACCATGGAAGGCAGTTACATACTTGGTATAAACTGATAAGATTTGAAAAGTTATTTATACTCTAACTCGCAGCTCAAGTTTGAAATTTAGAATTTACCCTAAGTGAAATTTAATGATGCACTGAGGTTTTTACTCAGCTTATCGTCTCTGATTTTTAGCTCAACTGGTACAAACTTTTCCACTATGCATTTACGTGTTCCAAACGTACGATAACGCATAATTTTTAATAAAATAGGTGATTGTTAAATATGCAGTAAAATATTCCTTCAGATAAAGATGATCAGCTAATTCTACCTGGTAACTAATATCACATTTTGGGTTGAATTTAATTTTTTACAACCTAGAACTGTTCAGCTAGAAATCACGAGATAGACAAAAAAAAATTCGTGTACCAAAGATTCTTACTAGAATTTTACATATTTGTAAAAGATCGGAAAATCGTTTCTTCAATTTTGACGCGCAGTGGAGGTGGCGACTTTAGTGAAACGGTCTAGTTATCCTTTATTTTGTCGCGGTGTGTCGTTGCGAAAAATGACGAGAACGAAATTTAACTAAAGTGTACTACCATGCCAAAAATATAGACAGCTATATTACAGCTACCGTTTCATCAGCGGAATTCGCAAAATAAATCTGTATCATATTTCTAACTTCTTTACTAATACTGAAAACGGAAGATATACGAGAACGTTCAGAAATATTTGGTATAAGTGACATGCTTATGGCAAGGTCGTATACTTGGATGTGATGAGTACAGTACAAAGTTGTGGGTAATCACATTACGACATACGTTACGTCGTGGTATTATGGTCCAAGATCCCTCCATTGATGTCAGACGTTACTTATTTTGTCACAGGCAGAATATGGTGCATTACCAAGCGTTTATAAGTATATTCAACTTCTGCGTAGCTGCAAAGTAGTTACTAGATGAGAACGATTAAATAAAAAGAAGACTGTCTTAACTTAAATTCTGCTTGCTGATTTTTATGAACGGCGTGAGTTTTTAGCGTGGGATTGATCATAAGCTATGTTTATATAAAAAAGTTAAATATGGAAATTGTAGCCAACAGTATGTTACGTTACCTGGAAAATATTTCCCGACAGGATGATACATAACTACGTGGTGACCCAAACATACATTTGCTAAAATAGGAAGACCTACATTTTATTGCAGGTTCAGATAGGCCCTTTCATTCGAAGCAATTTGATATAACATAAGGGTTCTATTTTCTGATTGTTGAGGTATTGGACAATCTATATAAAAGGCACTCAACTTTGAAAACTCACGCCTCCACAACTGTAACAGCTAGATAACTGATTTTTTCGTTAGAAACATTTAATGATCCCATATTTTCTCCCTTGCCGCTTCCTTTTTCAATCATTTGGTTAGTTTATATCCAAGTGTATCCAAGAACGCGAATTGAACGATTTCTCAATTTTATCGAATTGAACACCCTGCATATTGTCACACTTTGACTTTTTGGTTCCCCTTCTCACCGGTTTTTTCTAATATAAGGTTTATGAGAGTTTGTACAATTGGTTTTCGATTCACTAAAAACACAGAGACACCTTCTTGACTTTCTTGCATAAGGCTAGATAGATTTATTTTTGTAGTAAAAATTCTAACCATCTGGTGTTCCTAACTGTATGTTGTTTTTAGTTTGAAAAGTGTTGTAATGTCTGTAATTAACCTTTATATCCAATTAACGAAAATGTTACTGAAATCAAAAAAAAAATATATTAAAAGAAAGCTTGTTTAAATCAGAATACAAAAATGTGAAAATGTACAGGGTGTCCCATTTAAAAAAATTGAAAAATCGATCATTTTGCGTTCTTGACCACCTTGTATAAACTATCAAATAAACTAAAAAGTAAGCAAATAGGGATAAACATATGGAATCACAAAATTCTCCTGACGAAGAATTCAGTAAGTGTTCTAGCTGTAACAGTTGTGAAGGTATGAGTTGTCAAAATTGAGTGTTTGGAGAAGTATTCTTAATTCTTGCCATCTGATTATTTCAATTATTTCATGATGTGTATAGGAATGAATAGAAAACGTTATCAGTTTTTGTTTGTGAAAAAAGAGTTTTTGTGCATTTTATTGTGCACTAATTTTTCACTAGTAACTTGTTAACAAGTAATAGTACAGCTCTGAAATGAGGCCATTATTTGCAAAACTTGCTATTTGCTCGAATGACAATCTTTGGGAAATCAAAAAAAAACTATAAACGGTCGAGTAGTGTTTACTGGCAATGTGAAGAATTTTATTAATATTGCTTAGAGTTTTTAGGAAGGGAAATTAGGTGGAATGCTTTCTGATTAAATCATCGTTGCCACTAATTTCCACGATAACATTTTTTAATGTATTTTCCTATAAGGCCGAAAATACGATCAGGCGGAATAAAGGAATGACCGACGTTCGGAAAAAACAGTTCAATTTGGTTAATATGTTTCGGCGATTCTTCTAGGAGTCAGTAAGCTAACATTGCCATCATATTCGTATTTTTGTTTTGTCCGCCGCAACCATATGCGAACAAACGTACTGTTTCTATGCTGAGATCAAAATCCTTTAGAGTATGTAGCAAAGCTGATGCTATTGTATTAAGAAACTTTTCGGCATTCAATTTCTGTCCACAAGTAAGAAAACACATTTTTTTGGTCTTAATTTATCTGTAAAAGTTCCAGCGACAACTGTAAAATTGTGATAGTTGATTTGCTGGCTGAAATATGTGCTGCTTGATCAGGCAGTGCCAAGTTTTTGTGGCACTGCATTGCAATATGAACACGATGCTCAGTGACTAACTTTTGACGAAGACGTTGCTACTTTTAACTGCTCCTTTGTTCTCAAGCAGGTGGAGCAAGAGTCAGTCGACGGAGTTCCAAAACCGATGTTGTAGTTAGCTTTCACATACTTTCGAGAGTAACTAAGCTTCACATGCCTAGGCTGAGGCATCCGAAGATAATAGTCGAAAGGTTTTTAAAATTCAAGTCACATGGCAGGTAGACCCTCACGCTTGTCTTGCTTCTACAGTAATGAGACTCGGTATATGTAATGGAATCTATAAATCTTTTGATACAGTTTATTTTTCCGTCATTTGTAACAGCAAAATTCCTTACAATCCTTTGTCTGCGGTCCTTGCTTAAATTTGCGATTCCTAGAAATGATTTGGCACATGCTCTAATCAACTCGGCCTCACTCAAACGTACATGGTATTTTATCGACGCTGCAGCATGATTAGCTTTTTCTCTTTTCGAACTTTGTCGCTTACAACAAGCCAATATTAGGACTTGTTTAATTCTATCTTTTGACTGATAAAGGTAAGCATGAACTCCATAAAAATAAAAAACCGTTCCTAATTCGTGAAATGTTTGGTCGCTTGAATACAAACTACTGAAAATCCCTTTCTTGTAAACAGCTATTGTAATAGCGTGTTCGTCACGTTAATCAACGGGCAAATTTCACTGGTGTCTGAGCAAGCAGCAAGTTTTGCAAGTAAAACGTCAAAGCAAAGAGCAAGTTTGGCATATCACTGTAATTTTCTCGAGACAGTATTTACATATTAAAAAGTGAGCTTTGGGAAATTCTGATTTCATCATTCGATTCCTCTTTAAAATTGAAATGAACTTAGCAAAAAAAAGTCTAAGATTTTTCGATTAGCAAGTTTTGCGAATAATGGACTCATAACTGCATATGCGACGTTGTCAATTGTTGCGTTGCGTCCGACTAGTTGTCATATAGCATTTTTGCTGAAAAGAACCTGATGAGAAATAATTTTGCTCATCACGAGACATAATAAATATTACTAAGCACATATGAATACCTTTACACTGTCAACTTATTATTAATAGGTACTGAATATCAATTACAGGTAGAAAGCATGTTCGTGCATTTACTAGCATCCATTGAGGGACATGCCACATGACAAATTTCCAAATTGTCTGCAAAAATCCGAGTGTAAATTATTTATAGGTCTATATTTTTTAGTAGTCGTATGCTATAATGTGATAACCCATAACATCCTAACGTCTATTAGAACTTCATTTACTCCGCGTGCTGTTTGTTTTGACGTGGCATACCCTTTGTATTCTGCAGAAGTTGGGACACCCTGTACAATTGTCACAGTCGTTGAAAGCGCCGAATTGTAATTTTACACATCAACTACACATAATTATGATCGATTTAGTTTAACGAAAAAAAAAAAAAAGAAACGCATTAGCAAATTGATGGAGAATTGTAGCCTCTATTGACTATTATCAATTTCATAGTGAATTATATGGAAAAACAAAGTCGTGTGATTAAGGAGGTATCAGTCTAATTCTAAGTTAACATAAGGTTATTCTTGTAATATCAATAACTGTTTTTATTTTGTTTTGGAACCTGTTGGTACTACTAGATTAATATATTGTTAGAAACATCTTCAAGTCACTATAATGAACCAAGTTTATTTTTAGATACATTGAGGTGGGGAGCAAAATCAAAAACTATGCTTTTAAAATTGCAGTATATTTAATCCCTTCTGAAAGGAACCTATCATTTAGTGTGGCTCAAAATGAATGTTATGGTTCAACATAGACTATATTCCGCTTCACGTATTCGTGTTTTTCCTCAGCGTTTTCCATAACTTTCCGCAAGATTTTGATCGTTATGACCGCATTTTCATCGCGGATATTGTCTTTTATATAGTCAATGTTTCTTGGCTGACTAGCAAAAAGATATTCATTGAAATATCCCAAAGGAAGAATATCGCTCTTAAATCCGGTGAACAGGGAAACCAATTTAAATTGGCTTTCCACCGTATAATGTGGTCCTCAAAGGTTTCCCCAACAGAGCCGTCAGCTACTTCCTTGAAAGTGTGCTGTAGTTTAGTCTCATTGAATCTATAGATTTGCATAGTTTTGCAGAGCTTACATTTTTTTTCTTTTCGTAAACTATCAATTTTCATACTGAGTGTTCCCAGCCTTAAACTGAAGTAGACTATATGCATGCTGAGGTAAAACAACAGACGCCGGACTTCGGAAATAAACTTCAACAATGTTGATTTGTTGCTCAATGATGTATTGCGTCATGTCAAGCCCTCTCATATATCTTTAAAAAATAATACAACCTGGGCTGTAAAAGTAAATTTCAAGGCTTTTCGTTCCTTGCTCCATGGTGTATCGCGTCGTATCAAATTCCCTAATACTTCTCCATCAAATCCCCAAAAAACAATCTCGAAAAACCACCCTATAGATAATTGAAACCATAACGTTCATTTTGTGCCGCCCTTTGTATCTCTCAAGCCTTTGCCTCAAGTCTTAGCCCCCTTATGAAATCTGGACGTGCCAATGCCTGTGTAATACATCCGCCATAAAATCATGTTAAAGACAAAGTTATTGATATTGCAAAAAACTTGTAATTTTGACAGGCAGTGTATGTAATCGGTGATTCTTTACACATAAATATATCTTCCCCAATCCCCATTTTTCGCAAATTGGCGCTACTTATTTTATGTACAGTTTGATTATAGGAAATATACAATTGTAAATTATACTGTAGAATTTGTACAACACGAACGGTAAAATACAACAGCAAAATGATTTTAAAATTTTAATTTGTAAAATAGCATATACATATTTACGGGAAAATCCGATATTTGGATATTCAACAATACTTTTTACCGCATCAGAAAGTATTACGAATATTTTTCTGTCGTAGAATAATTGTCATTTTTGTACTAGTCGCATTTTTTGTTTATGCTCAAATGTAACATTCCTTTTCAACGTATAAAGCGACAGTAGCCGCATTCAGGGAACGTTAGCACTTCCACATCATGCTAGCGCTTAAGGAGTTGCTATAGGTTCGACTGGTGACGCTGATTGGCCAAATAAGCAATTTAATGTTAAAAAAAAAATGAATTTCAAGCAGATTCTTTTATTACCAGAAAAACGTGTTATATTCAGCATAGGGCCCCAGAAGAAAAAACTGTGATTTATAACTAGAAGTTATTCTCAAGATCTGTATGTTATCTCATAGTTATTTATTTTTTAGGGCCATACAACTTAATTCAGTAATAAATGAGAAATATATGATTCCAATTCAATTTTTTTTTCTAACGTCGAATTGCTTATTGGGTCAATCAGCGACGTCGGTCGTATTTCTTCAGCCTCCCCTTAACGTCATTTCCCATATGAAAGAAATGGCGTTGACACAAACGCTGTTGTCTTCTGAATGCGCCCATTATTTGCTTTAATTTCGAAAAAGACGTGGAACAGGTAGCGACGTGCGCTCAAAATGACGAAATTTCAAATCAAAGCTAGTCAATGTCATCTTTTTATCAAATTACGGTTTGTTGATATACAAATATGGAAGATACCTGCAGAACGTAATGAATGATTAACAGTTAATAATTATTATGTAGATGTTACACAAATACCTTTCCTCCCTTCCTTTCTGATGTTGTACAGAATTTTGAACTCGTTGACTGAATACTTTGTTGCCATTTTTATACATTTTCCGTTTCTAAATTTTCGAAAATTCTTACATCTAATGTACTATTAACGCGTAGTGGACTTCGAACTCATCACCATACAAAGCAGTTATCAAGTATAAATTGCAGAAACGCGTTTTCGTTTTTTTTTTAATGAACAAACGTCTAACATGATGGTTCAAAAGAAAAAAAATAATGGTAACATGTTTACAACAGGAGGCAACATTTGATGTACATGATTAGCGCTATGTCCAGGTGTAGTGACAGCTCTTCATTTCATTAGCAACAATTTTTTCATCATCAAAAGGCGAGTGCACCACAACATTCGCAATAGGGAATATGCATGACTTTTAATATAATACTGTAAACACATATTTCATTTAATGAAATATCTTTATTTTTGGTTGATCATATAAATAGCATTGTCAATGACCTTGATTTGAACGCCGCATTTTTTGCGCGCTTTGCAGTGACATTATAACCCTCGACATGTGATTTGATTGTCTTTTTGATTCATTTGCTGTCAAGTTCTCAAAGGTTCTATTTTCTATTGTCTAACTTTAATTAAAAAAAACAAAGATGGATAAAAAACCCAAACCTTATTACTACTGTATTTATAAATGTAAATGCTAAAAGTGATGTAAAATTATGAAAAGGGATAATAATTTCTAAAAAGTAATTCATATTGTTGTGAAGATCATTTTAACGTAAATACAGAACATAAAACTACCATTTTGGCGAAATATGATTATATTTTATTTATCCTAGATTACAAAGATTATGTATCATAAAAACGTCTATTTTCGGAAAATTATCCTCGTGCGCCTTTTGAAAAACACCTTTTGATTATTGATTGAGGAAGGTTGTATCTCAAGAACTAAGTTTTTTTTTTGTGGTTTCAAATACATGAGAAAGCTGTAGAAACAACTCAATGAATAACTGCACTCTTTCGAACTGATCAAACATCAAACTGACAGGTTGAAATCAATGACAGTGAGAACCAGCTCCTGCTATTTCGAGTCGGACTAACCAATCAACAAAAGGCAGTTGCTGATTGTGACGTCACGCCAATAGTGTTACGTTTCGATATTTTAAATTTACCTCATAATTCTTTATCAATTAATTCTCGTAATTTTATAGCGCTCAATTATAAAATAATGTGTAATTCTGTAGCAATATAAACTGGAAAATAATTGATCACGAGAATAACACTGGTGAACAAAATTAAAATAATTTTTGTGGCCTGGACAAAACAAGGTGGCTATTATGTAAAACGTACCCAAAAAGCCGGAAATAGCATTCGATTTTTTCTGTCGCCCACGGTTTTCTTGCATTAAGGCATTTTATTTGCTGCTTATACTCGTAAAGTATAAGGATATGTGTGTAAGAGTACTAATAAACACTCGAATGAACATTAATCTCAGAATGTTGTTGTCGATGTTTTACGGCGATATGTTGTTCCTGAAGTATCTCGTAACAATGTCCAGCAATAATCAGTAAGCAAATTGACACTCCATTTGCGTTGATACTGTTTTTATAGCAGAAATGTCTTGGTGGAACCGTTTACCATTGTGATCAAATACCGCACCTAAATTTTCCGGAAAAAATCGAGATGAGAATCCGAAAAGTGAATTTTTAGAGACATGTTACATCCCATTCCTTTAAAAGCATTAATTAGTTCACTCACAATATCTGTATAATTGTCCGCCTTCACATTGCCTAAAAAATTTGCAGTAACTGATTATTTAAAAGCATTCCAAGCTCGTAATTCAGTTTCATTCAGAGCACTGTCAAATACATCATCCTTCATGATTTTCCATATTTGTGGAACGACAAATATGCCCTCTTTAATTTTTGCCTCACTAAGTCTCGGAAATGTTTGTTTAAAATCCAGAAATCCTCTTCCATTTCGATCCATAGCGTTTACAAAATGTTTCATCAGTCCCAACTTAATATGGAAAGGTGGATGCAACACGTTTTGGGATCAACTAGTTCATGAGCAATGTTTTTGAGGCCCGCACGGGTATCGCGTATCTTGAAAAGTGACATTATGCCGATTTTTTTGACATTATGCTATTTTTTTTTTGAGATTATGTAGGTGTTTCTACAAGGTGTTAACTTAGCACTTAGTTGTACGTGTTGCCTAACCGTCATGAGGCTTTATCAATCTTTGGCTCTGATGTTATGTAAAATCTGCTTCAGAGATGGCAGGTCTAAGCTGTAAGTTGTATGTGTTGATGATAACTACATTGGGTTCTTGTCTCAAATACACTTGATTGAGATTCAAAGGTAGAAATTAGTTGCGCATACACTTTTTCTTATCCATTCTGGAAATTACATTTGAATTTTAAAAATGAGAGAGTTAAGAAATAATTATATTCACTGTACACTGTCGAATTACAAGCCATATACATGCTAACAGTAATTACACACAACGCGGGCGCGGTGATGATTTCCCGTAATTCTCCTCAGTTTGAACATAACCCCTCTTCAGAAAGCACAACATATAACCCGTTATATTCAGTAATGATTTTCTCACACAGCAAATATCACTGATTTTATACACATGCAGACCAATACACATAATCATCCAGATGCGATCTTGCTATTCAACCAACTTTCTTCTCAGAGATAAAAACTACAGACACTCAGACTCACAAAACTATGCAACCAATAATGCGTGTAGTTTAGTTGAGTGATTCCTCCATAGATGGACGTTCACAACGATCCTAGTGAGCAAACGCGGATGACTGGTTGCGAACTAAAAACTACCTAGTCTGCAAGTTGACATAGTTTTTTTTGACGTTTTGTAGATTTTTTACATGATACCTGACGTAGTGGCCACTCCTTCTGTTCGACTGCACGACTGTCCCATCCACAAAGAAAACAACAATATTTGGTATATCCCAGTTGCATTCCAAGAAGAAGGGCTGTTACCTTTAAATCTGCACATACGGCCCATCCATATTTGTTATAACAGAACTCGCATATTTTCATATGAATCCTTCATATGAACTGAGTGCACTTAGGTACAGATGGATATTTATTACCGTTGTGTACTAATACCGCTTTTAAACTAAGCTTAGAGGAATCAATGAACAGGGGCAATATTTGGATCATGTTTCTGTCCTAACGCGTCAAACAAATTATTGTTGACATCGGAGCAATATATCAACTCCCTTTCTTGACGGAAACAGTATGTGAGGTCTTGTTGCCGTTTTCGGTAAAAAGTAATGTTAACATCACCGTGGAGAAGATTCCATCCTTTTAATCTTGACGCTAAAAGTTCTGACTGGGATTTTGACATTTAATTCTCGATTTAAGTCATTAAGTTCGCCCTGTGTGATCAAATGCGGCGCTGTTGAACATCCTGGCAGGTCAAACCAAGGATCGGAAGTTTTTACGCTTTCTGTACCATCACTTTCAGAATCGGTGGATTCGACTTTTTCATCCAAAGACCAAGATTCTGGTGGAACTGGGACAGAAAGTTAATCACTATGGTTAACGGGCCGCAAAGCTGATGGTAAATTATAATACTTAACAGTACGTTTCGAATCTGGTAGAATAGCTTTAATATTTGTGAGGAAAAAAGAGCAATCATTAGTATGGTCTCTCGGTTCTCTCTAAACCATTGGTACCGCAAAGGGCATTTTACGATTGTCGCCTCTTAACCAACCTGTTTTGGTCGCCATTTAATTCCATAATAAAGTTCGTATGCTTTCAACACAAGGAGAGTAAAAGTACGTTTTTGGGATTTAAAAGTTAGCTCTTCGCACACATTAAAACTTTTCGCACTATTTACACAATTTCTATACATGGTCCATAAAAAGCTAGTCTCGATCACAATAAACTAAAAACCACACCGTTTTAACAAAAATTAACAGTACTCAGAACATCTCAGTACTCTTTAACACAGAAAGCTTAACTGACTCGGCTGCTATTAGTCTACTAATAAACACAATATGCTCTCTAAACATAGAGCTCGTATATAATAAACAGGAATAGACAGGTCTCAACATTATATATGTGCGTCATCGCATAAATGCCGAGAAATGCAGCAATATGAGATTTTACGTATTGTAATTCATAAAAGTAGATGTTACCGATTCGATTTAAGGGTCTCAAAATACAAACATACACCCAAAAATTGTCATTTCACAAAACCTGTGTTTATCAGTGTAACAGGAGTAAATGAGATTTACATATCGGCTGGAGCCTAATTGGTACTCTTGACATTGTACGCCTATACCGATAGAAAAATATAATGAACCTTCTGAGACGAAACATTAGAAATTTGACCGACTATCCTACGTTTGAAATGCTGCCTTATAGGAGTGGAGGAATTGATGATTATTTTGTATGGCTACGAGTTCGGATTCAGTGATTTTGTTGTAGAAACTGCACTGAAACTACATTCAGCGGTAATGTTTCAGTGGAGTGAACGTAAAATCCTTTCCATGTAAGATACTAGTGTGAGAAGACAAAGTGTACCGTCGTTAAATTGTACAGTAATGAATTATAGTGATTTTTGATCAATTGTATGTGCAGTACTTATTGGACTGTTCGAATTATAAACAAGCTTCTATGTTTTTTATAACCACGGTTTCGTTAATTTTCATATTATCGAAATTCTGATACATTTTTTACAAAAAAGTAATTTTGTGATGGTAACTTAGCTTCAAAGTGTTATCGTACGGCATATACAAATATGCTACAACATTCAATAAATTATTCACAATTTGTCAGTACAATTTGTCTTGAAGAAACCTCTAGCTGTTTTCCTTGCACACTAAAGATGTCGAAAGACATTTCAAAAAATGTTTTTGGCATGGAAAAATACATATTTTTGTTTTCTGACCTGTGTTTTATCCCACTTACCTATTTCTCGTTGTCCTATATAATCGTAACATAGATCTTGCGGAACCTAAGTCGTGTTAAGAGTGTTTCAAGAAAACATTCTTCCTAGGGGGATGTGAATAAAACACAATGCAGTATTTAAATTATTTATAACTAACGGTAATATGTACAGAACAAAAAAATAAAATCTGCTTTGCAGTTATATCATTCAGGACACTAAGTTACATTCGAAATATTACAAAAAAAACAAATAAATAACAGTACAGTGAATTTCACTATTTACAAATTCTTTACAAATGAACACTGCACAAAATTAATAGTAAAATTCACTTACGAATAAAAATCTATCGCTTCAACAGCACTATTAGTATATTATAGAAAATAACATTTCTAAAATGCTTTCTTATCAGACACAAGTCAAATAGCTGCACTATTTAAATTTACATCCAAATGAGGTACAATGATTTAGTAATATCAAGACTTTTTACGGAAAATCTGATTCGGAGATTTATTTTTTATACAATGGATATAATTCTAGCGTTTCCTGATTGAATGTCAATAATTGGGAGTGCAATTTTAGGGCCCATTTTCAAATACGAATCCTTTAGCATACATATCAAGAGGCATTTTGTACGGGATTTCACGTGCGTATTTTGACAGAAATTAACTACTATTTTCTCTTAAAAGTTATTCTGGAAATCTCCAATCATTTATAGACTAATTGATCCTTCTCAATCCGATGCACGGTTTTAGCATAAAAAATACACTTTTATCTGCATAATCATAATATCATTGATATGACCATGCAAAGAAATTATTTTTAGTTGAAAACCGTGCATCGGAGTAAATAATTCAATTTTTTTTTTCATTTTCAGATGCAAGTCGGTGGCTCGCCACTAACTTTCTATATTAAAAACTTTACCACCCTCTATTACAAAACGTTCAGGACATACGTTCATATGAAGTTTTCTTCTTAAAATAGACCCAAAAATTCCTGCCTTAAATATTGGCATTCAAGTAGGAAACACCCTTATATTCTATATCCATGAAGCATTTTCCTCCCAGAAGTGTTAAAAAGAATTCCATGAATCGATTTTTTTTCCAAAATTATCGAATCGATTTTTTTCAATTAATGTGCTTAAAAAACATCCACTATTTAACTCTTTTTTTTTTCGAACAAAGTTCCTACTTTAAAGACCCATAATTGCAATACTGAAATGCAGTAGTGTTTTTCAGATTAAACAGTGCAACAGTCGACATCAGTAACACAATCATTCAAGATAAAGAATGAAGTACGGAAAAAATAAATACAAATGAACAAATAAATTATATATCATTTAAAAAAAAGGAAATAGTTCTTTGCCACAATGATAATGATTATTTACAGATCATTTTTACTCTACATATACATATTTGGAGGAACCGGTCCTCTGACGAGAGTAAGTATTCGGAGCCGTCCGAAAGTGAGGAACAAAGCGAAAGAATTGGTTTTCTCGAACACGTGTTGTCATCACTTAGCTGGTCTTATAATCTATTTACCGAGAAACAAAATACGCAAACCGGATTAGATGAGTTGATAATCTATTTACCGAGAAACAAAATACGCAAGATCAGTTGCTATTTTGGTCGGATTGGGGGATAATTTGTAAAGCAAGAAGTAGACAGTGCTAGTTGGATTGGCGGTCATGTCTAGGTTAATAAATCCATCTACTTTTTACAGTTTGACCAACCACACTAGCGCTGTCTAGTGGGAGCAAAATTGCACATCGCTACAATAATTAACCAATTACTTTATTTTGACATGTAAATCAATAGTTATAATTGTCAACATAACCAATTGGTACTGTATTGCGTCATATGATCACACAGAACAAGTACTGAGGACGAACGCAATAAATAAGCGCTTTCATGTCGCCGACCATACTGCACATATCAACGGAAATTTTGAAATTCGAGTTTTCCTGCGCTCTCTGAACATCTAAATGCATTCAGGAAAACAATATGGCAAGAGGATCAATTTTATCTTTTAAACATCATGCTGCAACTAAGTCTTCATAATTTAGGCTAGACCCTGGAAGGTGCCCTATGCAATTGTGTGCAAAAGCTCGTGTCCAGGGTAAATTAGACCATTGATTCTACATGAGGATAGTCAACGCAACGCTATATTTCCGCGTCCAAAAAATTTACCGAGATAAAATGCGATACGAATCTATGAAAATTTGTCAGCTGTTTCTTCATTCGCTATTGAAGGTGTCCCAGAAGTAACACGTCAGGGTGACACGGGAGGTAGATTGGCTTCAGATCAATCAGATATAATCAAGATGACCTTAGTGAAAGTTTTCTAGTCTTCGAGATATTGGCACTTTTAGATTATTTCAAAAAATCACTACTTTTGGCTCCTTTTTTTGCCTGTTATGGCTATTAAGATCTTCAAACTTATGGGTTTTTCCTGGGCTACCATTAATAGTTGGTTGAGACAACCGAGCATTAATTTCATTGAAAACTATCACGGTATGCTAAAAAAAGAATAAATTTTGTTTCAATATGAAAATCTTTACTAAAGTTTGAGCAATTACTGTGAAAAAAATGTACCGAACTCAATCGGCAAATGATATTAGAAACTAGCTTATTTAATGATCTTTTAAAAATAGTATAACATTTGTAGGTTCTTGCTACTAAAAATTGAAAAATTACAAGTTTTGTCATTGAAGTCGTAACACTTGCGAAATACTACAAATAAAAAATAAGAGCAACAGTCTTTTGTATCCAAATCACTAACGATTGAAACGATCTAAACACCGAAAGAGCTATATAACTCACGTGTAGTACTAACACAAGGAGCAGTACTAAATTAACCCCGCGCGTGAAGAGCGCAGGTACCACCCCTGTTACTCGAGGTGACATAATACTTCTGACCGAACAATGAAAGTTAGAGCGAGATAGTCAATGACATGTTTAGTGATTTGGATACAAAAGGCGGCTGCACTTATTTTTTATTTGTAGTATTTCGCAAGTATTACGACTTCAATGACAAATCTTGGAATTATTCAATTTTCACTAGAAAGAACCTATAAATATTATACTATTTTTAAAAAGCATTAAATAGCTAGTTTTTAAGATCATTTACCGATTCACTCTGGTACACTTTTTCACAGTAATCAGTCAAGGTTTTCACATTGAAACAAAATGTATTAATTTTCTGTAGCATACCGTGCTAGTTTTCAATGACATGAATGCTCGGTTGTCACAACCAACTATTAATGGTAGTCCAGCAAAAAACTCATAAGTTAGAAGTTCTTAATAGCCATAACATGCAGAAAGGAGCAAAAGGTAGTGATTTTTTTAAAAAACCTACAAGTCGCAATATCTCGAAAACTAGAAAACTTTTACTAAGGTCATGTTGATTTTATCTACCTCCCGTGTCACTCTGGCGTGTTATTTCTGGGACATCCTGTATATACTTTTATAGATGGTTTTGTCTATATTAGCATATATAAGCATTTATGTGACTACAGCGCCATCTATGAGGCATGGATGACGGTACGGTATCTTATTTTCTTTTGTTCTTTTGGTCGCGGGAATATAGCATCAGGTTGGCTATCTTCATGTAGAATACGTTAATGGTAAGACACAGAATGAGTATTCTTATCATATGTATTCGTTTCCGTCATACTCCACACATCGGAAAGCCCCGTAATTTTAAAAGTGTATAAACGCTCAATGCCATTCATTCATCTCCAATCATTCAACCTTATCCGTTTTCGCGCGCTTAGAGAGAGGAAGCATCCAAGAGCATGTTACGGCTATGTTACAGCATTGATTAACATATTCTCCAAGAAGATAATAATGATAACAGGCCTTTATGGCAAAAGAGTCACAAAAGGGCCAAGTTTAGTCGTATCGACTATATTACAACTTGACTCTAAATGGCCAGCCATTGTTTCGCTTCCAATTTCAATCGTTATTGCCACGTTGCCAAATACGATCGCAGGAGTTCCTTAAGAAGTAATAAATGCAGGCTCCATTTTTCTTCAACCCTTTGCGACCAGTAATCTTGTGGGATGACTACCAATAGGGAATATGCTTGTGATTCAAATATCAGTTATGCTTATTTACAGTCTATTGCTACAGAACAATGCCTTTAAACTTATTTCATGTTTACCATTTCGACTTGTGGCCACCCAACCCTTTCTTGATTGGTCAGTCCGATTTGAAATAGCAGGCGATGATCAGTCCGAAAGAGCACATTCATCGGATTGTTTTTACAACTTTTTCGTGTACCACAATTTTCTATAATTCAAGAAGAAAACATAGCCTCACAAAAGGCGAGCTCTGAAGCTGACACGGAACAGTAGAAATCTAGAAATACCCCATTGATTCTGGAGGAGAGAAAATATTTGCATCAAATTCTTCATGCTTTTGATTTATATCATCTGATTTATCAAAATTTCCTACAATTCAAAAAGAAAATATACCTTCACAATAGGAGGGCGCTGACGAGGACACGGAATAGTAGAAATCTAGAAACACCCCAGCCTTTATGACGGAGAGCAAAGAACATAAAAATCAAGGAGGCCATAAAGGCGTCCTACAATTGTAGGAACGACTGACGATACGGCCCTTAGACCTCGGACAAAGTTCTTCTCAGTGCAATCAACGATGGTTTATAGTGGTTTCTTCTTTAAATGGCAAGTGAAAAAAATACATAATATTTGTAATCTAAGGTAAGTAAAAAGTATTACTTGGGCAAAATGGTAATTATGTGTTCTGTGGTTAGGTTAAAATGATATACATAATATTAATCACTTTTTGAAGATATATTATCTCTTTTCCTTATTTTACGCCATATTTTTTTTATTATAACCGGAAGATATAAAACAGAACCTTTGGCAACTCGACCGCAGATTAACCAAAACAATGAAATGGCAAATCGTGAGTTATGACGGTGCGAAGCGGCGTTTAAATCAACCTAAATGGCAGTTTTAAATATTTAATTAAAAATAACTACAGACATTTCCATGAATGAAATGTGGTGACGGTATTATATTAACGTAAATAATCGTAAGTACATACAAAAAAATATACATATTCCCTATTCATAGTCAATTTGCTTGGTTCTTGACGGTATTCTCATTACAACAATAATTACTGATTACCTATGATTTAGAATTTTTATCAGGGACTTGGTATTAAGTACAACAAAGGTTGTTTTGCTGAATTACTTCAAATAATAGGACATGCTAACTGGTCATTCATCTGAAGCTAACAGTCCTATCATAATTCATTTTTATCTCGGTGTTATATAAGTATAGTGCAAAAATAATATCCTTCATTTTTGCCATATGCTATGGTATCTCAGAAGTGATCATACATATACAGTATATTACTTACTCTGTAATACTATACAGAGCTGAGGCATCACAGAAAGTGTAGATGCCAAGGCCAGCTTACCAATACCTGGCAATGACACGTTTATAGGTGGTGTTACTGGTCCGAATGCTGTCTGATTTGTGTTTTAGGAAATCGGCGATCAAGTTACAGGTCGAAACTCTTCATTACGCAGGCGTAAACAAGCCAGTGTTGCCATTTATACTTCCTATGATGACAGACGTGAAATACCGGTAGTAACATACTGCATCGACTTTTAAAGGTCATTTTATATGCACAGTCACTGATTCAATACATCTACGTGTAAAATACAAAATGGACAATTTCATAATAAAACGATAAATCTAGCCATGAAGGGTTGGAAAAAATTACTCGTACTTTAACATGTCATAAACCTCCTAAGGAAAGCCTACCTCAACCTCCCTAATATTATTATTAAGGTTTCGTTTTCTCAAAATTTCTCAACGACCGAAAAAGGAATCTCATCACTTGCTGCCAAAGGGAAACGAGGTGGCAACGCTGACGCCTAAACATGGTTGTCGGCACGTATATAGTTGTAAGCATAAGTGGTTGGCGACGCCACGGTATTTTTTTCGCAGCCACAGTTTTAGATTGGGGTGGGTGTCTTCTGGTTGAATATGCTAATCAGTGGTTACAGTTATGTTACAGCTTCGCCGACGGTTCCCCCATGAATACCCCAACGATCTGGACAGAAAGCGCAGACGATGGGAGTTGTGCCCATTCGAGAGTTTTTCTCTGAATTGTCGATTGCCTCCGCGTTGTCTTCATTAATTTTCGCGCTTTCTCCTTCTCACCTGTTATTGAAATATAAAAGTATTTTCAAGAACAAGAATGTTACTAAGGCGCTGAGGCGCAAAATTATCAATAAATTTGTGGGGGAGTACGCATATTCATCCTTTGCCTCAAGGCGTGCAAAACTCTGAGGCGGCCCTGTGACACTGATACCAATCTGATCGGTATAATTGTCACTTTGGAATTTTAGTCTACTTATCGAAGAAAGAAACTAAACCCAAATATATTGAGATATACAGTAATGGACAAAAGTATATAGACAAATATGAATATTTACCTAAATACCTTTAGAAAACGATTTCATACTTCATTGCTCCGTAAACAAATGCGTAATTAGTAGAAAAATCTAAATTCCTTGTTTTTACATTATCTGCAATAAACCCAATACAAGTCTGAATATAAGCACTTTTTTATGAGAGACAAAAATATGTAGACAAATTCTTTTCAACATTAGTTTAGTACAGTTTCGTGTCAGAAGAGGATCAATTTGTGTTCATCAAGTATTGTGGAATAAGTTGAGTGATTTTAAGACCATGCCGCGTGGTCCAGCAATTTCTTTCGATATGAAAACTAAGATAATTGAGTTATACAAAGATGGTCAACGTCAAGTCGACATTGCCAAAAATTTGAAGCTGAAGCGTGAAGCAGTTTGGGCAATATTGAACAAATATAAATAAAAAAGGTATTTTGGAAGCCTCTAAGAGAAGTGGTCGGCCTAGAAAGCTAAATGCTAGATCAGTTAGATTTATAAAATTAATTTCGTCCAAAGATCCGTTCAAAACCCCAAGACAAATAAAAGCCGAAATCGAGACAAAAGGAATTGTCATTGTTTCTACGAAAATTATACGTAGAAGATTAAATGATTTGAAGTTATTTGCACGTCGCTTGAGTAAGAAGCCGCTAATCTCGAGGAAAAACCGTAAGCACCGATTACAATTTGCACGGTTGCATCTTGATTGGAGCATCTGTGACTGGAAGACGGTATGTTTCAGTGACGAATCCAAGTTCAATATATTTGGATCCAGCTGTGTTCATTACGTTAGACTTCCTGGTGGACAAAGATTGAACCCCAAGTACACTTTGCCCACTGTCAAACATGGAGGCGGGTCTGTTATGGTTTGGGGGTGCTTTTCGGGGTTTGGGATAAGACCTTTACATGTTTGTATACACAGACATACTAAAGCATGCCATCTTCCAGCAAGATAATGGCCCGAAGCACACTTCAAATCTCTCAAAGAAATTCTTTCTGGATGAAAAAATACCAGTTCTCACATGGCCTTCACAGTCTCCCGATATAAACCCCATTGAAAATCTATGGGAATACTTAGATAAGCAAATACGAGAAAAAAATTATTCAAACAAGGATGAACTTTTTGCCGCTTTAGAGCAAAAGTGGAGACAGATTGATGAATCTTATATAAAGAAACTTCTACAATCTATGCCGAGACGATGCCAGGCGGTGATGGATGATAATGGTTATGCTACAAAATAAGTTAAAAAAGAAATACAGCACAAAATTAATTTGTCTATATACTTTTGTCCATTACTGTACTTCATGCGATCGGACTCCAAAACTCCGAGCATATTACGCGGCCGGCGAGGCTGCCGGCACCGCCGTGCCATCTCCCACTCCATCGTCCTGGGTTATCATTGGTGCGGTTTATGGGCTCGACCGATTCTGCTCAATAACAGTTATTTATCCCGTTTCTTGAAATATATCAACGTGCTGATCACGCACTGAACACGCGCTGGTTATGTTTTGGCTTAATGTCTTTCTTGGATGAACAGATTATAGATATCATTCACTGCATATTCACATGCAGTAGCTATGTGTGTTGCCTAAACGTCAAGATACTTTAGCTACGTGCTGTCGCTTCGATGTGATGTAACATCTGCTTCAGAGATGGCACTAACGTAGGTCATTTATAGCTTCTATGGCCTAAGCTGTAAGTCCTATACTATAGGTCGTTGAGCCATTTCTCCATAGCTGGCGCTCATAGCGAGTAAGCATGGTGTAAGCTAGCGATTAGCTAGTACACAAGTGGCAAAAATGCTGATCAGATCGCAATCATAGCAATTATTTTACATAATACGGGTGCCGAATTCATTTCTATTTCAACTTTCAGTTACGCTGCTTTTGCGTTCAAAGAGAAGCAACTGCCAAGTAACAGGAAGTCTCAGTTTAAGATTGTGGAAAACTGATTATACACTTACGAATAAGAAGGCAGAATATAAATGGATTATTTTTGCCCTTAAAAGCCTTGAGTGAACTAAAAATCGTATATGTAACCTATTCCATCAATAGAATACATAATAAATGTATGTGCAATGAAGGAGATGCCCAAAGTAACACCCTGTAAGCAAATATTTCTTGAGTGAGATGATCACTCGTACACTATGAACTTGCTTATTGCTTGTTTTGTACCAACTGTAGCTTTCTTGACAAGTTCACAACATTGCTGCTTCAAATGAGTAATTTGCAAGGACACAAAAAAATGATGGATAAGTACTTCCACCCAATTGTCAATTATTTTTTGAGAACCCAACTAGAATGTTAGCCGAAGTGTCACAATGAAATCCACAGATGCCACCTTTCAATTTCAAAACGACTACCGACGGCAATGCTAGCTAGGAATGCACCGAGTATCCGCTTGGTACGGGGTACTCGGCTCATTTTATCGAGTACCCTGTTTGGGTGGGATATGTTTTTGTATGTTATATGACACGCACATTACGAAAAACTATGTCGCTCGAAAAAGGCCAAAACGGATAAAAATAGGCAACGAGCAAGCTTCGTTTTTTTTGCTTCAGAAGATCCTGGTCATAAAAAAAATTAACGTGAAAAACATTGGGGAAGGGGTAGTAGGGTGTGGGGAGGCATCAATTTTCTGATGTTAGTATATTAATACGCTACCAACCTTGGTAATTCTACGCACCTTTTTGACATATTTCAAACATCATAGATCTCCCCTTAAAACTTGGCAAAATATCCTTTGCAGACGGTTCGCGTACCAAACGACCGCGTCTACTTCTGCTCCCGGCGGCGTGCCGGTCCTGGTAAGCGTTCTGGTATTACCGCCGCGCCATAGCACAGTGTTTCCTATGCTGTGGCCGCGGTGATACGTCTGACTAGGTTAGGTATCGGGAAGAGGCAACGTTGCCAGATGGACTACAGGTAGGGCAGGGAAAGAATGTCTATGGACTAATTGTATGGACCTGTTTGGCTGACTTTCTTCTCAGAGGGTCAAGTTTGTGCTAAATATAGGCCCTTTGTGAACCGATAATATATATATTTTTATATAAATGTCGGCCGTCTTCTCCAGTGAGCTAATGTATTTATGGTATTTGCATAGCTTATTTTTTATTTAAATGTTTTCTCATAAAAAATACAGTCCGTTGAGCAGCTACCACATCAGTTTAAACTGAAACGACATTGTATTGCTTTTTTGCAATCTTTATTTGCTCTTTTATCAACAAAAAACAAAAACTTGAAAACAAAGTAAACAAAATGCAGCGTAAGTCGAAACGTAACGTAAATAACGGATATTTCGCGTTTCTGCAAAGAATATCTTGATTCAAATGTATGTAAGGGTAATTTTGGTTTAGTTCTTCCCAAATTAGAATTTAACCCGTCACGACAGCCAGGAGTTGTGTGGTAGGCTTTTAGGTAGCCTCCTGTCAAAAGCAGTTCAAACACATATGGGATTTACTTTAGTATTCGTGATGACCATGACATGCTAGCCTACCTTCAAACAACATGTAGGTTCAAGATGTTGAGTATTTTCCTTTTGAATGTCTTACACATGTGTTTTTCTTGTAGTTGGAAAGTTAACAGTATGTCAAATATAAATGTTCTAAATGTATCAAAATATGGTTTCAATCATAATTCAATATCATAGCTCCTGAATTCCACAGCAAAAACATATAACTAGCTGCTTATAAACTTTCAAAATACAACACATTTGGAAACACCATAAATACACTAATCTTCAATTCGCTGTACGAACTGTTTTTGAGAAGCGTTAATTTTTTGGAAATACAAATCATTTTTGAGAATAAAGATCCTTCAAAATGCAAATATGAATCTTAATTCAACTGACTTTATCTGAAATCAGTCCACCTAGTATCGGTATTTGAATTTGTTCGAGTACCCAGTACTAGGCGTTTTGGAAAAAAAGTAGTACTCGGTGCATCCCTAGCGCTAGCAACCGTTAAGCAACTGCTCGCGATGGCGTCTTTTTGGTCTGAACGCTTGCTGTTGCTTTCGGTGAGAACAGTCCTTACGATTTTCGCTGCGACTAAACTAACGTCTCAATAGTGATCACGTTCAACAGAACATCGCGCGACTCGAGTGATCATTCATACATTCATAATAAGTTCTATCAACCTGATTCTTTATATCATCAAATGTTCTATCGCAAAGTTAACATCGTCTTTAGAATTGGGTTGCATGGATGACGGCAATTACTCAGGGAGATAGTTTTATACCAGTCTTCAGGAATACAGTTCCCCGAAAGGTAAGAGAACCACTTCGCCTTTTCTCAGTCAGACCCGAATTAAATAAAATACCTACCTTTTCAAGGCAAGTCTAAGGATGCCTCATAAGCTCTCACGGCTCTGATAGAAGAGAATATAGCCAGTCTCCGAAGATTTCTGCGTGTCTGCTGTCAAACCGTAGAAGTCCTCTATCGTTGAGGCATCGATTTTCTACAATCAAAACAAAATACATTTATCCAATGCACCCATCTTGAAATTTGGAGATCATATAAAGTGCAATTAACAAATGAAAAATGCTTACGTCCACTTGGTCATCATCAAACAGCAGCCAAAATCCGTGACTTTTCACAATACTGATATAATGGCCTCGATTAGGTCCACTACCACAATGTATCACAACAGCTACAAGGTCATACAGTCTATCTGGATTCAGTGCATCATCACTCTAAAAAAAGTAAAAACAAAACAAAATTTAGAGATCGACAGATACAGGATTTTTACCGATACCGATGTAATAAAGGCCGATTTATCAGTGTTGGCACTTAGGCTGGCCACAATACATCCATGTAAGTAATATCACAATATAAGTGAACTATGAAAAAGTGTATTTCAAAAATAATTAAGTGTGCCAAAAGTATCCATAGTACCACCGATTTAATAATGCTGCAATCTAGAAGCAGTAAGCACAGACAGTCTCATTAGAGAAAGAATTGTTAAGGCTAATCCAGCAGCTCTCCAATCTCTGGCTTCAGCCTGAATGTTTCTATAGAAGTGAATTTGAAAATAATTCAAGCATGCATATACCCGTTACTAACATACAGTGCTGAGTTTTTTATTAGGTTTTGTGTCTGATATAAGCAACTTCGGTCTGATAAAAGCGATTCATCCATCGATAGTTACATTTTACTTGATGTGAAATCCCGAAAAATAGCACCTTGCGTATATTTCGACAAAATTTCCAGTCAAAAGACTAATAAACTCGATAGTGCAATTTTGTATCCTATGCAAAAAAACAGAAGAGATGCTTTTGAATTATATCATCTTTATGATTTGCATAAGCGGGTCTCTATGGGTATATGGCCGTTCATATATCGGAACATTAGGTTAATAGTGGCGATATGAATATCAGTGACGATCGATCCCTAAAGTTATATATGTATCAGTGTAGTGCTCATAGCACGAAAAATATACCTACTGTATTAAAAAGTCTCAGCTCTAAAGGGAACACCACCCTATGAGACACTTTAATGTGCCTATTGTACTGCTCCATGTATTTGAAACGTTTCAGGTGCAAGGCTAGAATCATTGGCAGCTTTTTTACACGCATTCTCTTCTGGGCCTCCTAAAAATATTTAAAAATTATGAATATTAAATATATTTCTGCAAACCTCTAGTCTAAACTGTGACGTGATTCATTATCTATAAAAATAGTTAAGGGTATGAAATCTATTCAACGAATAACAAGTGTATTGTGGAAAATTGTATAAATTGGTACAGAATTTATTACTGTTTGATCCAGGCTAAGAGGAGCAGGATAAGATACGGCCGGTTATTGCATTACTAGCCGAGATTTTTCACTTGACTCTCCTGAAAAAAAAAGTGACAAAAACGGTATTTTACCTGGTAACTCATGCAGTTATCACATTTGAATTTGTTATCGCTGCAAAGCGTTTCCGTGTTGCTAAAACATCGCAAACAGTGGGTGATACTGGTGTTTTGTTCGATGTCCACTTGCAAATCAAAGAAATCTTCGTCTTTGCTACTAACATTCTCGCAATTCAAACATCGCGTTTCACTAGTGAGAATACCCTAAAAATCATCAAAATAATGTAGTAAAAGTAACAAAAGCAATAAAAAGACCAATTATTTGAAAGAAAATCTCTTTTAAGACCAAACAACTAACCTGAAATATCTCGTGAACCCACGTTGGTTCTGGAGAATTATGCGCTGTGCCATTTTCACCTGCACCTTTTGATTTTATATTATTAGTTGTAGAATTTTGTTGACGTTCAGCTGTAAAACAGAAATCTTAGCTTAATTAACTAATATGCTTTTTTGCATATCTGAACTACTTGTGTTTCTACTACTACTTCTTTGTATTGGCATCAAATTTAACTACAAGATATTTCAAAAAACAATATTGATCTTGACTATTATATCTGATATAAACATATCAAAGTTGGCAATACTTGGTAGAAATGATACCACATATATACATTCATCAAATACAGTTAACAAGAGATAACCAACTCATACATACCCAAGATGATCTCACTAATATGATTAATAAGGAAATTTAAAAATTCATGTGCATCCTGTTGCATGTAGTTGTCAAATTCCTCTGAAACAACAAACACATGAATATCCTGATTTATAACAAGAGTCATTATGTCATCACATGGTAGTTACATAAAAATGGTAAATCAAATTACATGGTGATTATACTCCTTATAAGTACATACTACAAAAATGAGTAATGATCGTCATATATCAAAATAACTTTATTATAATTATAATTATTCGCAGTTCAAAAAGTTGTAAGTACAATAAGCGTCAATTTCAAATTTCAATATTACAACAATTTGTTGAAACTAAGTGTTAAGATACTAAAATCAAATGCACACAAAGTTCAAAATTCATCCAATGATAATTACCTTTTTCTTTTCGTAGCCTTGCTATAAACTTTTTTGGCGCTATAGAGCCTACTTTCTTTTTTTGTGTAGCAATACTGTGAAATAAGTCGGCGAGACATGTGAGAAGTGTCTCTTTAGTACGTTTATTCTTTGCTTTGTATTCCAAAACTCTTTCTCTGAATGGCTTACAAAAGTATAAAGCCTGAAGCACAGAGTTGCTATAACAAGTGTTCCCAAACTAGAAAAGAAACAAAATATAAGAATGTATGTCTGATATCTTATTTTCAGCAGAACAGCACTGCCGGGCTTTGCTAAGGTTAAATTACAATCTTTTGCACTCTTCTCTATCTGGAAATCTGACAGTTGAAATAAATCATGAGAGGATTGAGGAATTCCTAAGCTTATAGTTTCTTGCAATGCTAGTTCTGCAGATACAATTATTCGTCATTTGTCTGGGCGGTCTGTAACACCTTTGCCCATTTGGCACTGTCTAACGGTATGTTAGTCGAATCTGTCAGTCTTGGCTTTCAAAGCCGTAAGTTATACAGGGTGTCTCATTTTATTCTTTCCACCTAAATACCTCGAAAACTACGCACCGTAGGAAAATAAAGTTTCAAATAAAAGTTGCAGGGATTCAAGGAGGTAAAATGATGGACTTGACCATAACCTTCACCGCGATATCCAAGGCCATTTCGAGGTCAATCGATTATTTTTAAATGGAACTCACTCTTTTTTATACCGGAATTGGAAAGAGGAGGAAATTTTACGTCAGAGTATTAACTTTTACTATGATGATCACCTTGACCTCAAGGCCACTACAAGGTGAAATCAAGACATTTAAAACAATTTACTCTAGCAAAAATGTTCGACAGCATAGTTGTTGGCTATGTGGTTATCACCAAAAGCTGATTTTGACCATGACCTTGCCGTCTCCTTCCAGGTCATGCATAAAAATCAAGGGATTGCCTTAGAAATAACATTTAATACTGACATGACCTTGACTTTAAGATCAATGTCAAATTCGGGAGTAACATTTCCTGCCTATTTCAATTCCAGGATAAAAATTATGGGTTTCCTTTGGAAATGTTGACTTGTAATTGAACCTGACAATTTGCTGATGAACATTTTCGCTAAAGCAAATTGTTTTCAGTTACTTAAACTTAAAATGGACTTGAATGACAACATTATCGTCATGGTCAAGGTCATATTCGGATGTAGAATTTCTTCATTTCCATTCAAAAGTTTTGATTGACTTCGATATGACCTTGAAGGTAGTGAAGGTTATTGTCAAGGTTACCATCATTAACCCCCCTCAAAACCTTACACTTTTTATTTGAAACTTTTTGTAAAATGGGACATATCCACGTCAATGCAAATGACGTCATATTTATTTAAACGAAACTATCAATCTTAAAATAATGCCTACTGAGCCTAGCATTGACAAAACATAAAATTGCTATGTCGAATGAAGTTATTTTCTTAGTAAATATGAACATACAGTCATGATGAAGGCAGAGGGTGTGTAGATGAGGAAGTGATCTTCCTGCATTGAGAGGGACTTGAGTCAGGTTCCGCAAGAAATCTATGTTAATCGGAAAAAACAATGTACAAATGTTCAACTAAATATTGACGGTGAAGACACTGAATTCATAAAAAAATTTAAATACCTTGGAGTTTTTTTTTTACTCTCGATTAATTTTTGATATTCATTATGAGAAAGTCATAAATAAGATTAGTAGTAAAGTAGGATATTTATCAAGAGTTTCTGGATGTCTGAGTTCATATAGCAGAAAACTATCTATATTACTATCATTCTTCAAAATTTCTTGTACTGTTCAACTAATCCATATTTAGCAAATAATTCCTTTTTTGAAAGACTGCAAGTTTTACAAAACAAGTGCATGAGAACAATACTAAATAAAGATAAATATAGTCCAATTAGCCAAATGCTTAGCACATTAAAATGGCTCAATGTAAAAATTTTTGTCAAATATCTTGTAATAATATTCATTTACGAAGTAAAAAATAATATATTTCCACCATGTCTAACTAATTTAACATCATCAAATGCTGACCATCATTTACATAATACCAGAAATAAAGATGACTTCCATTCAATAACCAAAAAGTATAACATGCTACAAATCTGTATTCCATCAAGGGTTAATTGAATATAATAAATTATATACAGAGATAAAACACCAGACAACATTGACAAAATTCAAAGTAAAATGGAGGAATCACTTGTTAAATTTACAATTACAGCTTGCCTAGCATTTACATCATATGGCTTAGATTTACTAATCATTCTAAGTTGTCTACAATTATTCTGTTTATGTAACCAAACATGCTAAATAAATCTTTCTACAACTGGGTTTAAAAAAAATGAGTTATTTATTAAAAGCTAAGATTATCAAACTTGAGGAAATAACTTAGGGTATATAAACCAGGAACCATCCATATTGCACCCTACATCATATAGGGGCTAACAATAATTTAGATTATCTTCTCACTCAAAGGGGTAAAGAAGTCAATTCTCAATTTGGATTTTCTCATCATTTATGAAACTTGTTTTGAGGGTAGATACAATTTACCAAATAACATGTGTATCAATTATGCTTTAGGATGAGTCATATTGTCGTCTATACCTCAAACAGGCATAACTGATTTTATACAAATCTTCAGTAGAAGCAAAATGAATATTGACAGTTATTTGATTCCATATATCTTTTCTACTTTATGATTTCTGATATCTGTGTGAGCGAAGTACTTACGAGTTATGCCACTTTGCATGATTGAAGATATGCTATACCTTGTTGATTTGAATCAATTAACTTGAATTTGGTTTTTGTTAGATATACCTGTTTGGGGTATGGAGGACAATGTATCCACTCCCTACAAGGTGATGTTTGTTTTTCAGATAAAAAAAAATAAAATACAAGCCTCAAGTCATCTCACTTTTGAGCCAGTTGCTCCAACTCAAATGAAAAGCAGCTGCAATCCCAGCACCCTAATTTATTAGAGAGGCAAAGCATTGTACAAGACCAAGTTTAAACAAAATATTTGATTGGGACATGTCAACCAGTGAATGATCTCAAGTATCACCAATTTCAGAGACAGATCTCCTATATGGCAGTTCTAGAGAGCTAAATGATTTCATTAAAATATAAAATACATGTTATAGTTGTGAAAAAATAATTTCATATAAGAAGCAAGTCATATAAAGGATATTCATAATTTTATGGTTATAACCATCACCTGGGATGAAAAATCTATTATATAATTTTTTTGATATTTTCATTTGCTTATGTGCTAAGTGTTAAAACTTTATGCTAGTGAGTGCTAAAGACCTCATGATGTGGATCAAAAACATGTTAAGCAATTTTGTGGTACTAATCAAATTGAATGAGAGCATCCAAGAATTTAAAATACATTCAACTTCTTTCATACTGTTGACAATAAATTGTTAGTAATGATAAGAAAAGCACTTCCTAGTTTTCTATTGACAGTACATATTATCTGTTATTGTCTCCAAAAATAAAATAGTATTTAACTGTTATTAAAAGTTAATGTATAAAATATGATGGTACCCACAAATTACAAAATCCTATAGATCCTAAGTTCCCTCCACCCTGTACTGCAAACCTAAACATATCTTCGATAGAGGATTGTATCTATCTTTATTAACATTGATACTTCTTTATTTTGAAATCATGTTAAATAATATGAAACTACACATAATAGCCCTATAATCACTTTGCAGCATCAGTTTTTCATTAAAATGTCATGAAATCTGAGGTGTTGTTACAGCACACACTATATCTGTATGCGTATGTAAACGAAAATAATTGTAGATTACTTACATTAACTAATCCGAAGTAATGCTCGTTGCATGGAAATTGTTCTGATCCAATATCTCGTTCCAATTGGGAGATGTTTGCACCCTAAAATTAAGCAAAAACTTGATTTTTGTACCCACCTGGGTGCAGGCATTGACGTATTTACAAACTACGAAACTAACGCAGAAGTTGTAGTATGTTAATGTAATGGTTGGAACCACTTGGTTTGATGAAGACTTACCATATTTCAGTTACTTATCCATTACTATTGGGTTGATAATTTGTAAAATTGATACGATTAATAAATCCAATCTCTCCATTATTGCATTCTGAATTCTGACACTACTCTGACACAGTGCTGACAATTGACAGCCGCTTAACAACTCTCCAAAGTGCAGCATGCATAGATTAAGAATGAGCAGAAGGAAGACCATCCACTCCTTTAAATTAGCGTGAACAAGTGTTTCTGTTTGCCATATTAGTCCTAAGTAACAGTACAAGCAAAATCGAGTAAGCAAATTAATGCTCGTTCGCAAAAGATAGACCCATGAATGAGTGAAATGAAAATAACGCACATCTATCTAGCATATACATGTTAGTGATCGCAATAGCGTATCCAATAAAATGCTTTGGGGCCATAGTTGCACAAAGCTATAGTGTGAATTGCAATTCGTTCGACCTAGTTTACTACGATAAAAATAGGAATACTTTGTTTAAAACAGTCTCTAACAAGTAATATTTTATAGCAATATTTGACTATAATACTGGCAACAGTATCTAAAACATAATCACTGTATACACTACATCTCGCGCTTCTCTCGTGTACATTATGACGTCAGCCAAATTTGAACCTCACCGTATGTACCTATAGGTACACATATCTCGGCAATACTATCCGCAGTATAGATATTAAGTACGATTCCAATCGTTCAGCAAACTGGCAGCAATATATGAAAACATATATCTAACATGATGCATAGCCTTGCTGCTATTGCATATTGTTGGCAATGTTGACTCGTCTATTGTAGCTACATAATGCATGAAAAATATTGCTTGTTTTAGACGTATCTTTAGGTATACCAGTTCCCTTCAACCTCTAGAACTAATCAAACCTTGTGGCAACTTGGTCTCTCCTAAAATTTTTCTCAGTTACGTCACTAAACTATACTACTTTCCTTAATTGAAATGGCAGACAAGTATACTTGTTTTCCTTGATCGAAGTTACAACTCACAACTCTTCCTTTACTGTGTCAAAGTACTAGTCAGGTATTAGTCGAACAGTGGAATGGATATTAAACTAAAAAGCACTCAAAAGGGTGAAAACTAATGACAAATTATCAGTTTGTCCAATCAGCTGTGTTATGCTCCAAAAAAATAGCCAATGAAAACTAAGAATGGAAACATAATACGTACAAGCAAAGTTAACGTTGTCTTGATTCTGTGAAATAATCTATCCAAGGAGATTGTCAGATAAACGTCAAAATGTTGTCAGCTGACTTCTCACAAATCTCGTGACAAGTTGTGGTAGATTTCGGATTTTGCTCTGATTTTTCCAGCAATAGTTTTATTCCAGTACGTGTAGTGTTTGGGTGAGGTTCCGGTATACGTACAGTAAGTAAAAGTCTACTTCTTCCGTTTGATTAATATTCGATCCATTTTAAGCTCAAACATTTCTATCTCAATATTCTTTGAAAAAATCCCTGTAGCATAAACAGCGCTTATCGATCTTTGCGAGTGTCCTTGCAAGAGAAATTAGGGCATTTCGAAAATGCAAAAGTGGATTTTTGAGGTAAACTCAAACTATTCTGTAAGGTTGTTGTAATTGTCGAGCTTATTACAAAATTGCAAACGAGTTTTCTGTAGGCGTAGTCTGCATACGGTTCAATATCGCTGGGAAGCGGCACGTGACATGTCATTAATCTCGTGATAAATTTTACATAGGAATACGCCCGCAACTTACAAATAGTGATCCGAACTTCAAGAATCTCACGTGATTTGTGCCAAATTTTGGAAAGGACAGTTTTTAAAAGATACAAATACACGTTACCGATTCTGGCTCAAAATATAAGTGCTGTTTTGTATTAGGTATGCTGAACCAATGATTTTTTATATTTGTTTTTAAGAAATTTGTGTAAACTCCACCAAAATGATTCTTATACCATTTTCAGTTTGACTTTTTTGTAAATTGTAGCAAAATGTTACTCTTTTAATAGCTTTGGATTCATATTATTTTATTAAGAATTACTATTTTCCAAATATATGAATCTGTTGCCAATTTACCGTGACATCTTTGTAGATCCAATATCCAATAAGATTGAAGATTCTAACAAAATCATTGGTTTGCTCTAATTTTTAATTGAACTATACCCCAAAATCAAAATTGATGGCAGTAAATTCTCTTTGCTGACGAGAAATCTCTGCTGCCTGCTGCCAGATTTCAATAATGAACTTAGCTTACCTTAAAAAAAGTCTATAATCTAAAACTAAGAACTAAAAACGTATTCCTCACTGGAAATATTGGGTTATTTGCCTACAAAATCAGAAGAGAACTGTGCCGTAGAGGGCAGAAGCTGGCACAGAATGACCCCACCAGTAATTATTGTGTGAAAAAGTCCTGGTTGACTGATGCATTGAAATAGAAACAGCATTTTTGGACTCATGAACACCTGCACATGACAACTGAAGTCTGAAATAATGTTAAATATTATCCTTATTGCCAGCTTAGGCAGCAGCAGTGGCCGCAGTAGTAGGCTCTTCAGTATCCTGATCAGTCGCCGTGCACTGTGCGGGTTCGAGTCCCATCCACGGAGAAATTTTTCTCTTGGCTATGGATGTTGTGATTGTCCGTAGGTGGTAGATGGTCTCTAACTGTCGAACGTGGAGGTACCACCCAGCAGATCTTGTAGGTGGAGCCAGAATGTGTGCATATCGCATGCACACGTGTTCCCTCGCCAGAGTCCGTGTGGCTTTCCCCTGTATCTCCCTATAGCCCCACAGTACCCAAAGAGTGTTTAGGCCTTAGACCTTCGTGGTAGTTGGAGTAAAAAAAAAAAATTACAAGCCCTCAGTTGTCATGTGGATCTATTCACTAGCCCAATAAAGTCATTTATTTGGTCTTGCTGACATCATCCAACTGAAGCTTCATCTTGGGGGGATGTCAAGCCCTTCTCTGCCAACACAGACCTCTTAGAAACTGGTCTACCAGACTCTTGAATCAATTGAGTTAGACCACCTTTTTTTTTTATTTTCAAGAAAAACATCCCAAACTTCCTTGCCAGAAATTGGTCTTGTTAAGAGTTATTCCCTTTTTTTAGTGGAAATGGACTGCTTATTGTTCATATTTATTCCATTAATGGCTTCATTCAGTGACACCAGCTTTTTGCGTTTGTCAATGACCTGTGTGCTGGAGAAGGGTTATTTTCTCTGTTTTTTTCCTCAGCTGTGAACCATGCTAGATAAGATATTAATAAATGATATTGTACAATCATTATGCAGTAAAAAAAGGAAATTTAAAATGTATCAAGAGCCAAGCTTATATTAATTTTTAGAGATCAATTGCAGAAGTGAAACATTAATTTTTCACCAAAAAAGTGGTCCATGTTCCAATGGTACCATAACAATCTCAACTCTCTTTTATGTTGTCATTGATTAACATACTCTGCCTAAAGATAGCCAACCATGGCTGTATTTCACCATCCAAAAGAATATCTGAGATGGCGTCATTATGAGATTTGTCATATCAATATTTCTTCTCTCCTCAATAATTAGAAATCTACCTTAATAAGGTCATATATGCACAGTTGGCTACAGCAACATCTATGAGATACTAACCTTTCCAAAGTAGACTTGCAATTTTTGTGGAGAGGAGGCTGTGGCAAATTATCATAGATATTGCCAGGATATCTTATTTCATCTCGGATCATTTTTTTAATGTCAAAATACAGCATGGTTGCTCCAGCCCAGCTACTCTCAAGAATGAGATATCTTAGTTTTCTTCCCTATAACCCAAATCATAATAATTAACCAAGGATTATTTTGTTAGCATTACAGATAAATCATCAACCATGTCAAAATTGCCAAAGATTCTTGATGAGGATAAAGAGGGGCAATATGGATATGTCCATGCTGTGTCTGGGCCTGGTAAGTTGAAAAACTGTATAAAACAAGTAGTGTATTTTCAATCTTCTATTTTAAACATAACATGTTTTGACAATTTGCTTTTCTCCCTTCTCTAGTTGTTACAGCAGAAAAAATGTCTGGATCAGCTATGTATGAGTTGGTTCGTGTTGGTTACTATGAATTGGTGGGTGAGATCATTCGTCTTGAGGGAGACTTTGCTACCATTCAGGTATATGAAGAAACATCTGGTGTTACCGTAGGTATGTAATTGAATAAAATATTATAAATATAAAAATAATATTCAGTATCACATACGTCACTTAACTAATGTTGCAAGTTGAACACAGATTATATTTTCTTTTTGTTAGGTGACCCTGTCCTGCGTACTGGGAAACCACTGTCTGTGGAACTTGGCCCGGGCATTATGGGTTCAATTTTTGATGGTATCCAGCGTCCTTTAAAAGACATCTGTGACATGACAGAGAGCATTTACATCCCCAAAGGTGTGAATGTCCCCTCTCTTTCCAGAACTGCCAAATGGGAGTTCAATCCCATCAACATCAAGGTAAATACAGAACTCTGATATACATTTACATTGATTCAGTGAAGCCTACTGTACAGGAGAGTAATCAAACTGTACAAAATAATAATTAACAACCCTTGACATATATAAGTATTGAAAAATGATTGGTCAGATGAAAGAGTGTGAACTTCCTTCATCGAATGGCATTGAAACATCAAACATAACTTGTGTGCTGTGCCTTATTGACCATTTATAGACAAACATTAAGATTAATTTAATAAAAATGGATGGACTATTGTACACATGACAGTACCTTTTTAGTGTTTCTGGATAATTCATTAATAGTAGCAATAATAATAATAATAATCCTTTATCCATATTTAGAAGTATATAAAAGTGTAATAATTCATTAGATTTGGCATGTGCATGTTACAAAACAAATGCCAAACTTAAAGAGTAGTAGCTGTTTTTGAGTTTCATTACTAATTTTCTCTATACTTTTTTCCAGCTGGGATCTCACCTTACAGGAGGTGACATTTATGGTCTAGTTCATGAAAACACTCTGGTCAAGCACAAAATGTTGTTGCCTCCAAGAGCAAAAGGAACAGTCACTTATGTTGCAGAGCCAGGCAACTATACTGTTGATGTAAGTTTCGTGTACATTTCATATTTTGCTTTTACTTTTCACGCCTACTGGCGAGGAAGTAATCGCGAAAAATTGAGAAAATGATATATTATGTCTTTTGGATGTTGTAAGACATGTACATCACGAAAAACCGTGTTGGTCTGTCTGACTATCTGCAAATCATTGGCCCATCCATAACTTGAGAAGTACCTCTCGGATTTTGATGAAATTCTCACATAAGGTTACTGCTATGTAAAGGACGAAAAGCGTTGTAGTTTTTGAAAATGAGTCCAGTTTCAGAAGCTGCTGCTCTCTCCCTGAAAAAAATGGTAGGTGTTAAAAATTGGGAGAAGTAAGGGATAGAGGAGGGTATAACAGTTTTTTCAATTTTAGTATATTGATACACTATGAAACGTTATGTTTACGCACATATTAGACATATTCCACCATGATAGATTTCTCCGTACATTTGCCTTTAAAACTTAGAATGATTGGGGATTTTTTTTTATACGCGCCTGAGCTTCTGCTGCATGGGTTCACCGTCGGGCGTGCCGGTCTGTGTATGTCTTAATATTTTACCGCGTCGTGTGATCCGGTATATGGGAGGACAGGGAAAGAATGTCTATGGAGTAATTGTATGGGTCCGACTAATATCTCGGCTGTAAATGTTCGTAACTATTTTCTCAGAGGTCTAACTTGTGCCGAACTTAATCATTTATGAACTGATGACGGCCTTGCGTGGGAAGTGCAGCAGAATCAATGTATTTGACGCCATTTTTTAGTCTAGCAATCAAAATGTTGTACCAGAGGTCTGATCTAATTCAGGCCCTACATGTGAATTCATCTTTGGAAATGATTCAAGTCACGATTTCTCCCCATGTTCTATCAATTTCCAATTCTTAAGTATCCATAAATTGCTTTAAATGCATGTATAGCCAACCTGCTACTGCAAGATTTACTACCACTGTAGCATGAGTCATGACTCAAATCTGGCTTCTCGTCCAGCTTGTAAATGTTTGTTTATTCTGAATGTATTGCAGGAGGTTGTATTAGAAACGGAATTTGATGGAGAACGCACAAAATACACCATGTTGCAAGTATGGCCTGTACGTCAACCACGTCCAGTCAGCGAAAAATTGCCTGCCAACCATCCACTACTTACCGGACAACGTGTATTAGATTCTCTTTTCCCGTAAGCATTATTGAAATTAGAGAATAACTGTACCATGATACCATTTTGTCTTTTCACGTATTCTTCCATTTCAAGGTACGCGTCCATAGATTCGCATGGTAGTAGTAGTTCTTAGTCTTATTTGCAGTATAGTTGCCCTTTCAAGAAATCTTATTTGACTTGCAATGGGCCCAATGCATGCAGTCGGTCGGATGCGAATCAGTGGATGCACTTGTATTTAATACAAAGAAAGATAGAAGCTTTCAGGAACCTTAGATGAAAATCTAAGTACAATCGTGAGCATGTCTGAAATTAATAAACAGGATCAGAATTAGAAGGATTAGCAACCTGAGCGACGTATTGTTCTACTTACTGCTTCATCAGGCCCAAATGGATGTGCATCAAAAACCGTAGTGAAAACATATGTCCATCACGTCTGGATACAGGTGTAACCTGAAAGAAAACGGAGGCGGAAAGGGAAATACTACTAGAAGCCACCAACAAGAGCTAGCAGGTACATTTGTGGCTTTGATCAGACGACCTCGTGTTTACGAGGCATCAACTAACGTCGCCACGGAAGCCAGCTATAGTTACCTGCCGAAGAAACAATTGGCCTGCTCGCTTTTGTTGGTTGGCTTCAAGTTAAATTTCACTTTCCGTCCTTGTTTTTCTTCAGGTTACGTCCGTATCTAGATGTGATGGACATATGTTTGAACTTTGGTCTTTTTGAGGCACATCCATTTGGGTTTGCCTTCTATTTGTGCACCTGTTACTTTATTGCCGATGTGCCTACTATTGTCCTTTGTCTTATATTTAATAACATGCAATGATTCTGAAGTACATTTACTGCGGACCTGTGGACGCGTACCTTGAGTCTAACCATCTCCAGTTATGATCTATTTATCAACCAATGTAGTTAGTCAAATCTTATTGATTTATTTTTTCTCATTGCAATTTGAGTTTTAAATTTTCAACACTATGTTTAACATTGACTGATTCTATGTTTTCACTATTACCCTGAAATATATTTTTTTGAACGTGTGAAGTCATCAAGCTGAAATTTGGGGTGATGGAATTGATGCATGAATGTTTGAGAGTAAAAAGTTGCAGCTGAAAATTTCAAGATGGCCGCTCGTCGTCATCTTGGAACGTTTTTTAAAGCTTATAACCCTAGAATATAAATTCGCTCTCTTTCAAAGTGGAAAACTTGCAGTCAAAGATGATTGTTTGCTAGTATTTTATACTGATCTTAGAAGGTTCGATCTAAATATAAAATATGGAACACTTCATTTAAAAGAAATACAAAAATCTGTCATTTTAAATATGAAATGTCTCTTCTAAAAGAAAAGGATTAATACAACATACTTAAAGCATTTTCATGATTGAGTGATTCAATATACAGAAAATACTCGACATTTATAGCCCATCGGTCTGCTATTGTGCAAGTTCAGGTTTTGTGGTTATATAGTACTGTCAGGAATCTTATAACTGACATATCACATGATCCCTAATTTTATTAAAAAATGTTCCGGCTTGAAATGTTTAGCTACTATTTCTACGTCAAAATATAGTATTCTTGAATGATTTTCATTGCCCTGAACTTCAGCTTCCTAACTTGACCCATTCAAAAAATAAGTAGGGGGGTGGGTGATCTGAAAAGTACTCTGTATGTATGTGTAAAATCATGTTACATCAATTGTATATTACATGATAAACAAATGGGCGCCCCGTTTATAATTAAGTATGAGTTAATTAAAAATATGTTTCCAAAGAAAACTATATCAGCATCAAGCTGTCCATATCATATGTCTATTGTTAAATAGCTTCATGATTATGTTCATTTTTTCAAAATTTAATCAATACATGTTTTTTTCAGATGTGTTCAAGGTGGCACAACAGCTATCCCCGGTGCCTTTGGTTGTGGAAAAACTGTGATTTCACAGTCCTTGTCAAAGTATTCCAACTCTGATGTAATCGTTTACGTCGGTTGTGGAGAGAGAGGTAATTGTTGATTCAATTAAAAACACAATAAATTACATTCCCATTAAACATGGGAAGATTCCATTTTTTAATTCTCCTGACAATTTTACTTAGGAATAGTAACATACTGCGGAGCCTAATGCATTCCAATGAGAGTAGTAGCGAGAAAATGGAAACATCAAAAAAGGCTAAAATTCACATTGCTCCCGAACCTTGAAATTGTTGAAACGCGTACATATGATTAGATGACACATATAATTTAAGTTTTTTTATTGAAGTAATGAAAATAGGTATAATAAACCATATAAATTTAGAATAAAAAAGATCATGTTGACTAAAAATACACAGTTCCGTTTAAATAACTACAATTTGGTTCAATAGAAGTTTTCTGACATTGCTTGAAAAACTACATTATACTCTACAACTTTTTTATATAACTTTTTTTTCTAAAAGGTCATGAAAAGTTAAGATAGGGCTTAATTTATAGCAGAATACCCCATACGTATTGTTAAGCTGCGAATTACTACCCAATTGGTGTCACCAAAAGTCCATATCTATGTTAACACTCGCCATAAATATTTAAAATCAAAACGATGGTGATCGTAATTATCCTGAAACAGTGAGAGGCAACATTCTTATAGCAAGCTTCCATAATTCTGATACCATTCTTCGTCGTGTCATTGAACGATCGATAACTAAATTCCCGTGAACCTAGATGACACATCCACCATATAAAATGTCGTGTGAAGTAGGGCTCAATTTAAATCTCGAAGTACCTATTAGGGAACCTCTTACTTTGAAAAAGTAGAGAAGAATTTGTAAAAATGTGATTACTTTTTCAGGTAACGAGATGTCCGAAGTACTGCGTGACTTCCCCGAATTAACAGTGGAAATCGAAGGTCAAACGGAATCTATCATGAAGCGTACAGCATTGGTGGCCAACACCTCTAACATGCCCGTGGCGGCCAGAGAAGCCTCTATCTACACGGGTATCACCTTGTCCGAGTATTTCCGAGACATGGGTTACAACGTGTCCATGATGGCCGATTCTACTTCACGTTGGGCAGAGGCCTTGAGAGAAATTTCAGGTAAGGTCTGCGAATCCTAAGAGTTTTCATTATCTTTGGATTATTCCAAATGTTCATATGGCTGGAAAAAACATTGTAAAATTTGTAACTGTGTTTACAATTACAGTAGCGGACTAAAATTGTGAAGGACAGATAATATAAATATTAAAGTCTACCTTTGGCTCCTCTACTAATACAAGGTTATGTTATCAATATGCAACGTCTTTGAGAATAAAAACGCGTTTTTTCAAATACCACAGTTTTTGTAACAGACAAAAGTATGGAAACATTTCAGTTTTGCCGTATTTATTCGTTCTGCGATACTCGAAGTGGTGTCAAAAATGTTGACATTTCTCAAAGATTAAAAATGAACACAGATTTTCAAAAGAATCGTAGAGGAGGGTGCCGAGAATCTTCCTGTCAGAACAGTGCAGAGACGCTTGGTGGATTTTGGGCTTTTTGGTAGGCGCCCAGTGCAAAAACCTCTCATTTCAAAAAAAATCGTATTAGCTTGAATTTAACTCATCTAACTTGTACAGAACAACAATGGAGTACAGTTTTATGGAGTGATGAAAGCAAATTAAACTTGTTTGTATCTGACGGTACGGCATATCTGAGACGTCCAATACGAAAAAGATTCGACAAGAAGTATCAGTTGCCTAGAGTTAAGCACGATGGAGGCAACAACATGGTTTTGTGCTGTTTTTTTTGGTTCTGGAACGGGTACAATTGTTAAAATTGTTGGGAAATTGGATCAAAAACTTTACAAAGATATTATTAGTGTACACATGCTCCCCTTCGCTGAAGAAGAAATGCCTTTACGATGGACATTCCAGCAAGATAATGACCCCAAGCATACCTCAAAATTCGTTAAGGACTGGTTAAGACTAAAAAAGGTTAATGTTCTTACATGGCCTTCGCAATCCTCGAACCTAAGCCCTATAGAACATCTCTGGGAGCATGCTAAAATACAACTGACAAGAAAAACTCTTAAAATTACGAATGATTTTCTTGATTATGTAAAAAAAATTGGCAAAATATCCCAACAGACGTCTGTAAAAAATTGCTATGAGCAGCAGATGTCAGGCAGCGTTGAATGATGAAGACTATGCTACCAAATATTAGCTAAACAGTATTTTTTAAATCTTTGTAGAGTTATTAGAGTTATTAGTATTACTAAAAACGTTTCCAAACTTTTGTCCGCTACTGTATGTTCTTGCGGCGACGCATGGCAGCAAACTCTAAAAATGAGTAAAAATTTATTTTTTTAGGTTATGTTCTTATCAAGGCTAGAGTCTTTTTCACAAGTATTCATTACGTCAAACGTGGCAGCAAATAACAGCTGATTATCTAGTAATATTTCAAAATACCTAATATCGACAAGAGGCACACAATTCTGACGGATCTGTTAACTCTATATCTATAGACAGAGTTGTATTTTGTTGTGGAATTTTATACGCGAGAGATTCATACCTTCCTAATTCCTAATGATCATGAGTACATTTCAAGTCGCGTAGGAATAGAAGATAAACAGTTTTTGACTAGTTTCATATAAACGGTATATATGTCACCTGCTGCTCAGCTGTTCACCTCATTAGACGTCAAAAGGTAATAGATACTTGTGAAAAAGACCATAACTTAGCTGTTCTTTTTAAACTCTGAAGTGAGCCAGACATTTAGCAGCATGATTTCTGTTTGAACTGTATGATTTCACTTGTAAAACAACCGCAACATATAGCACAGTCATTGTCAGATTAGAATGTCAATATCAAGACACGAGATATGTCTCTATACTACAACACTGATTGACTATTTCTTCATTTCAGGTCGTTTAGCTGAGATGCCTGCCGATTCAGGCTACCCAGCTTACTTGGGTGCCCGTTTGGCTTCCTTCTATGAGCGTGCTGGTCGCGTCAAATGTCTTGGAAATCCTGACAGAGAAGGTTCTGTCTCCATCGTGGGTGCCGTATCGCCACCTGGTGGTGATTTCTCAGATCCCGTCACTTCCGCCACTCTAGGTAAAGTAGTCATGGTCATAGCAAGATATGTTAGTTTACGAAGAAACATAGTCAAGGATAGACTAATACCGGGTGTTCGTAGAGTTGAGACTTTCTTTTATACAGGTTGTCCCAGAAGTCGACGTCAAGCCGGAAAGGGGGATAGGTCAAGTAATAAAAGTAATCATAAAAATATAAAAAAAATCCAAGTCGTTTACTTTTCAAATTAGACGGAGTGACCTACAGTGTCATTCTACATAGTGACAGCAAGACATATAGTAACGCCACTTTTATTAATTTATGATTGTGTAGTGCCACCATGTCTGTGTACACCATACAGGAATACTTCAATATGCACCTTGTTTATGGGAAATGTAGATGCAATGCTAGTGCTGAAGCTAGGCTTTATCGTCAGAGGTACCCAAATGCTGCTCGTCATCCCGATCAGTGAGTTTTTGTAAATGTGCGCTGTTTGCTCTCAGAGGAATGATTCCCAAATCAAGCACATGGTGAAGGAAAAGTTCCCTTCCCTTTCGAGGACGTCGTACTAAAAGCAGTCGAAGAAGACCCGAGTACTTCAGTACATCCAGTAGAAGCAAGCACGGGAGTGTCCAAAAAGTACAGCCCACAGAATCTTGCGATAGAATGAGCTCCACCCTGGGATTATCTTTCAATGTTGAGTTTTGTCAAACAATGTTACAGAGACACCGGGAAAATCCACGATTTATAGAGAAAATTATATCGACGGATGAGTTGACATTTAAAAAAGCTGGTTACTTGAATCTACACAACTTACATGTAGAAAATCCTCATTTGATGAGACAAGGTAGATTACTGTATCGTAAACATGTGGGCCAAGATTCTAAATGAATTTACCCTTTGATCTGTCAGAGATCTTCAATGTCGCAATTTAGACTTTATACCAAATTTATTGGAAGACGTGTCACTGAGCATTTACAGAAACATGTACCAGCAAGATAGCTGCCCGGCGCACTATGCCCGTTAAGTATCTTGATGCAGAATACCCAATCAGATGGATAGGGCGGCATGGTACAATTTCGTACCAGCTCCGTCACGTGACTTAAATCCAGTCAATTTTGATTGCTGGGCGTGGCGAAAGACAAAGCGTACTCAATGCCAATCGAATATTTAGCTGAGCTACAGGACAGTAACGGAACCAGTTGAATTTGTTAATAACGCAAGATCTGCTAACCCAATAATTTTTAAAAAGATGTAAGCTTGCATTGCTGCTGAAGTAAGGCAGTTTGAACATTTATTGTGAAGTTAATAAATACATTCACGAATTAATAAAAGTAGCGTTACTATCTCTCTTGCTGTCACTATGTAGAATGACATTATCCAATCACTCTGTCTAAGAAAAAATTGTAATTTGTAGTAATTGGAACTAAAAGATCATCACAGGGTGTGGGTTTATCCGATTTTTTTGAAAGCCTATAATTTGAAAAGTATACGACGATTTTTTTTATATTTTTCTGATAACTATTATGACTTGGCTTATCAGACGTTTCCGGCTTGACTTCCACCTCTGGGACACCCTGTATGGCTCTTGTAGAACTAAGCAAATTTTCCTAGTAATACATGCATCAAAGTATTGGAATAATCGAGATATTATGTTCCGAAAAAACTTCCGATTTCAAATTCGTCCATGCCTCAAGTAAAGGGTTAGGTGAAAAGATACAACGTATCCAACCTAGGTGCCTCCTGCTATGCAGATAAATCCGAGCTGTTTTTGTATAAATTAGAGTTGGACATAATTGAAAATGGTACATCCTTTACTGCACATTTCAAGTTTATACTTTTTTCGCGATGTTTGGTGGGTCTTAGTAAAACTATCTGTCACTTTCATACATATCCTGACAAATACACATGCAATACACTTCTGTGCACGGAAGTTTGTTTTGTAAGCTCACAGACATACTTTCTTTAGTTTCATCTCGTCACCTTTAAAATTTATGAACAATGTATCATTATTTCTCATCTATGCTTGTCATTGTGAAAACCCACAATATCAACAATTTTTGTTAAATTTATAGGGGTAATCATGTATGCAACATGAGCTGCATTGAAGATATGTTTATGTAATGTGCAATTTTGCCTGCAAAAGTTAAGCTCTGAACATGGTACCTGTTTGTTTATTTCCGATAAAAAACCGTGAAAAGTCCTATAGTTGCCTAAAAGGAGCTACTCAATTTTCAGAATGCCCTGTATTTTCTCATATTGTTTGATGCCAGTGAATAATAAATCTATTTTTTCCATAGGTATTGTGCAAGTGTTCTGGGGTCTGGACAAGAAACTAGCCCAACGTAAGCATTTCCCTTCCATCAACTGGCTGATTTCTTACTCAAAATACACAAGAGCATTGGACGACTTTTACGACAAGAACTTCGCTGAATTTGTGTCGTTGAGAACGAAAGTTCGAGAAATTTTGCAGGTACGAACGATCAGATTAATAACAAGGCAAATATTGATCACATATATTACTTTAGCCTTGCTGACATTGGCATCGCTACATCTAGACATGCAGTTTAGTCTCAGTGACTGGTGAAGTAGCGCTATTCTAAGGAATGCGACCATGTCATACAATTTTTAGATTTTCTACATTTTGATGAACATTGATTGACTCGTTCTACTAGAAATACTAAATCCTTATTGTCCGTGTGTCACGTGCATTTACAACAATATACGTGTTGCCACTGTCTCTGACTATTGCTGCAGGATATAGGATATCCTCTTCCATTGTTGAGCAGTTCTGATAATATGAAATCTTATTAGTAATTACAAGGAAGCTTGAAGGTTGATATCTGCTTGGAAGGTCAATGTCATGTTTAAGAATAAACATTTAAATATAGAAAAAACTAATAATAATGCTTTCGTCCGTCCGACTATAGACGGTCAACCGTGTTCCATGCTTTTTGGCAATCATTAGGAGAGTAGCTATGTCAAGAGAAGACTGGAATGTCTTTATGATCGACTGGTCAGCCTTGTGTCTTCTGCATTAGAGTAAGGGAGCCGATCGCATTTTTTTTTTTGTTACATCATCGCCTACTGATATGATACGGAAAAACTTGTCGCATCTTACGTATCATAAACATCAAACTTGCCGAGTTAGCTTTCAACAGATGTAGATCAGTACGTGGTGTCACCAAAACTCTGTGGTCGACTCTTGGACCATTACTGGTTTATTTACAAATAAAAGGTGTCTCAACAAGAGGCCGGATTTGAATTTGCCGCCATTTTTTGGACAAATGCTATGGTGTTTACTTGATGACAGCTGTCATGTCCAGACCACGCGATAAGACGCATGGAGCAGTATTCAAAAAGCAACGTTTAATTATTGTGAAAACAAAATGGAGAAAATTACGCGGAAACAGTTCGCAAATTACATACAATTTTCGGCCGCAATAAAGCGCCAAATGAGTCGACAGTTCGCCGTTTAATTACAAGAATTGAGACAAAATTCACGTTGCTGAATGTGAAGACCACTGTTCGTCGCCGTCCTTGTTGGTCCCTCGAAAATATGGTCGCAGTGCGGCCGAGAATCCAGGCACTTCCATTCGGCATCGTGGCCAAGGATTGAATCTTCCCAGACTCACTCTGCAACGAATTTTCACAAAAGATCTGTGCTTGCATGCGTACAAGGTTCAACTGACGCAAGAACTCAAGCCAACGGACCATGCGCAGCGCGGTGAATTCGTTGATTCAGCGCTGGAGCACCACCAAATTGATGTGTTTACTTGATGACAGCTGTCATGTCCTGACCACGCGATTAGACGCATGGAGCAGTATTCAAAGAGCAACGTTTAATTATTGTGAAAACAAAATGGAGAAAATTACGCGGAAACAGTTCGCAAATTACATACAATTTTCGGTCGCAATAAAGCGCCAAATGAGTCGACAGTTCGCCGTTTAATTACAAAAATTGAGACAAAATTCACGTTGATGAATGTGAAGACCACTGTTCGTCGCCGTTCTTGTTGGTCCCTCGAAAATATGGTCGCAGTGCGGGAAAGTGCGGCCGAGAATCCAGGCACTTCCATTCGGCATCGTGGCCAAGGATTGAACCTTCCCAGACCCACTCTGCAACGAATTTTCACAAAAGATCTGTGCTTGCATGCGTTCAAGGTTCAACTGACGCAAGAACTCAAGCCAACGGACCATGCGCAGCGCCGTGAATTCGTTGATTGAGCGCTGGAGCACCACCAAATTGATGCGGATTTGTCGAAGAAAATCATTTTCTCTGATGAGGCACATTTTCAACTGAAAGGGTACGTCAATAAGCAGAACTGCCGAATTTGAGGTTCTGAAAACCCCCGTGTAATAATCGAACAACCATTGCATCCCCCGCGACTTACCGTTTGGTGCGCATTGTGGAGTGCGGAGTGATTGGAACGTATTTCTACGAAAATGCAGCTGGAACTGCCGCAACTGTTAATGGTGTGCGATATCGCGAAATGTTAACCGAGTTTTTGTGGCTCCAGTTGGATCGAATTGATGTGAAGGATATGTTCTTCCAACAACACGGTCCGACCTGCCACACAGCACGCAAAACAATGGTGTTACTGCGGGCCAAGTTTATCAGACCGTGTCATGTCTCGGTTTGGCGATCAAAATTAGCCACCAAGGTCTTGCGATCTAAAGCCAATGGACTTCTTCCTCTGGGGCTATGTGAAGGTGTATGCGAACAAGCCACGAATAGTTGAACGTCTTAAAGAAGAGATACGGCGCGTTATCGACGAAATAGTGCCACAATTGTACCAACACGTTATCCAGAATTTTAAGAAAAGACTGACCCTGTGCCAGAGGTTCCGTGGTGGCCATTTACCGGATGTAATATTTCATGTTTAATCGCAACTATTTCTTTTCATGTTGAAATATACTCGCTTAATTCGATAAGAAATTGTGTTTTTCTTGAAAATCAAATCCGGCGCTCTTATTGAGACACCCTTTACAAACAACGGACCGTCCTTAATTTAATGATTCGCTCATAGATGGCTCTGATGTACCGAGGCGGTGTTGCCAAACTGCCATAAAATGTTTAGAAAACGATATACTGAGCTGCGTGGAGTATCGGCCTTTTCACAGTTTTTTGAGGTTACATCAAAAAGTCATACGAAATAAGTACATAAACATATCGTCCAAAGGCCAGGCTATCTAGATAACTGACAACCATGTCAAATATACCGATGACTGGCAAAATAAGCAATTTGAACTTAGAACACTTTTGAATTTCAAGCTGACGTTCCTTCTTTGTTCCTAACTTACAGGTTTTGAGAATAACTTCTCCCACGAAAAGTGTGAATGGGTGATAAATAAATATCCCCACCATAAATAAATGTCAAAGAATCTAAATTTTAACAAAAAGTATTTTCACTACAAGTGATGATCAATGAATTCATCAAAAAATGAGTATCTATCTGGCAACACCGCATTTATGTCCGACTAAATATTAACAGCTCGTGTTTAGACAATCTGGTGTTTTGTGAACACCATGTTTTTGAATACATCTTGTATCTCTTTTTAATTTATTTGCCTTGTCTGCCTTTTCTTGACATTACTACTCTTTGGTCTCAGGTAGGACAATGAACGAAAGCAGAGCAACTATCCTCTGTCGAAGGTATAAAGCATATCGAAATACGATATCACCACGTGCCATCTATTACCAGAATCGACTGCTGCGGTAGTGAAAATCAGCTATCATTTGGAACTGAAAAGTGATTCAGTATATGTGATCTACGTACCGCGAAAAAACTAATAATTCTGCTTTCGTCCGTTACGACCACATACGACCAATCAGGTACAGGTTTTTTTTGCAGCCTAGGCTTGGTCTCATGCACTATCCTCTATCTAACGTATAGGAACTATTGATATATAATACCACAAAGGGCTATCTATTAACAGAATTGACCACTGCTAGACCGTTCTAACAGATTCTAGTAATAAATGGCACTTTGTGATAGAGAATAGTTGCTATGCTTTCGTTTGTTCTTCTACATGGAACCAAGCCAAGACCATGCTGATGTTTGCCAAAAAGCATGAAACAGCTGTATACGGTTACCCGTCTGTAGTCGGATGAGCGAAAGCAGTATTATTAGTATTTCAATGGCGAGTAAACGACATGTACTATTTCGCCAGAATAGACGGCATCTAGCGGTCACATTGATGACTTGGATGTCGAACACGAACTGAGATATTTTACAGTTCACTTTCGCATTGGTCGATTCTGGTAATAGATGGTCCTTTATAGCATAGGATTGAGAATCTTTTTGGAAAATAATGAATGTAGAAAGCAAATGTTATTGACAATCAGTCATTCACTCCAATAACATAATCATATTTGTTTGTTCTACAGGAAGAGGAAGATTTGTCAGAAATTGTACAACTGGTCGGTAAGGCTTCTTTGGCAGAAACTGACAAAATCACTTTGGAAATCGCCAAACTGCTCAAGGAAGATTTCCTGCAACAGAACTCTTACTCCTCCTATGATAGATTCTGCCCATTCTATAAAACTGTAGGCATGCTGAAGAACATGATTGGTATGTATATTGGATTAATTATTGAGCAGTAGACGTAAACCTAGTTCATATAATCTCCCGGGTTTCTCACAAATATTGATAAAATGGAATATAGCGAAGAAAAGAAAATAAATGAACTGTCACCTGGAAGACAGATAAACGTAAAATAAACGCAATGTCAGATGTACTTTGAAAAAGACCACCGTGATGGCCGAAACTTTAGTGAAAAAGTAATTCAAACACTTGTGGTTACTTCACTACACTGTATCTCAGTAACATGTAAAAAGATCATGGTCTATAAGCAAGCTGTTCAGCCTTGAAAATAACTCAATTTCAAGTTGATCAGACCTATGAAATTTTTCCATTTAAATATTTTAGAACATATCAGCATTTCTCTTTTCATGTTTGTACTAAAGTTCGCAACTTTGGCATTTAACATATTTTTATTTTTGAATGAGTGCTTGGTCACAACACTTTCTATTTGAAATCTATCCTACTAAGGAACAAAACATAAAATAAAAGTGTTGTTCCAATTGTGAACAAATATGACACAAAAGGAAAATCTCGTTGTATGTGGATATCATGCTAACACAACATACATATACCTAACATAGTTATAATAAACTGGTAGGACTAAAAAAAAAAAATAAATCTATATAATAGATATAACATTAATTTTGGATTGTAGACTAACAATGAAGAAAACATATGTGTTAGCGTTTTATAAATTACATCATGTTTATATCAGTTTTCAAAAGCCACTCGTATACATCTATTTTTTATAATGATACGAAGGGTGTCGTTTAAGTTTTGCATATAGAAACATAGTAGGCCGCGCAGATCGAACGTCAGTACTGAATCTTAACCTCACTCTTTAGTAAACTTAAATTCAAAGTTTCACAACAATACGCGCAGTGTTCTCACTACAGTGAATTTTTAAGTGTCACCAAGTCATTAGGAAAATGGAACTCAACCGAGAACATTTTCACGCCATAATTTATTACAACTTTCAGAGACAATTATCGCAATAAGAATGCCTTGCTGAGTTACTGTCTGTTTTCGGCAATGAAGCGCCACACCAGTCGATAATTTCCCGTTGGTATGGAGAATTCAAACGTGGACGGGTGAGTCTTAGCGACGATCCCAGGGTGGGTGCACCAACAACGGCAGTCACCCAGGAAAACGTTGATGCTGTGCGCAAACTCAAGATTGAAGATAGACATGAATGTGACATATCGCGAGATTGAGGCGTCCTTGAAGATTTCAAAGACGTCAATTCAAAAATGTTACATGAAGAACTAGGTGTAAGAAACTTAGTTTCTCGTTGGATACCCCACCTGTTGACTGAAGAGCAGAAAGCAGCCAGGGTTAATTGGTGTCAAAAAACGCTTGACCGTTTCAATTCCGAAAACTCAAAAAATGTGTACAACATTGTTAATGGTGATGAATCGTGGATTTACTGTTATGAACCATAAAATAAATGACAGTCGGCTGTTTGGGTGTTCCAAGGTGAAGAAAACCCAATAAAAGTCATCCGTTCTCGAAGTGTTTCGAAAAAGATGGTCACGACATTTGTGTCAAAAGCGGGTCATGTTGCAACAGAATCATCCTACACCAAGACAATGCAAGCTCGCACACAAGGCAGTATTTAACGGAAGAAAACGTGGAATTATTGGACCATCCTCCGTATAGTCCCGATCTAAGGCCCGTATCGTCAGTCGTCCCTACAATTATAGGGCGCGTTTATGACCTCCTTGATTGTCATACTCCTTTCTCTCCTTCAAAAATTTCTAGATTACACTTGCCCCGTGTCAGCGTCAGCGCTCTCCTATTGTGAAGATATGTTTTCTTATTAAATTGTAGGAAATTTCAGGCTGATAAAACATGATATGACTCAAAAGCAAGCACAATTTGGTGCAAATAGATGTTTGTGACATAACCTCAAAATAGAGCGCTGACACGGAGAAGTAGAAAACTATGACAATCAAGGAGGCCATAAAGGCGCCCTACAATTGTAGGGACGACTGACGATACGGACCTAAGTCCTAACGATTTCTTTATTTCTTTACTTTCCCGAAAATTAAAAACAGACTGCGTGGTCAAAAGTTCCAGTCACCAGAAGAAACAGTTGACGCATTCAAAAATACCGTTTTGGATCTGCCAGCGCAAACGAGTGGAATAAGTGCTTCGAAAATTGGTTCGAGCGCATGCAGATGTGTATTAATCTTCGTGCAGAATACTTCGAAAAACAATAAAGTCATTTAAAACTACCTACCGTGTTGTTTTATTTCCATATGCAAAACTTAAAAGACATCCCTCGTATTCGGTTTTTTCTAATATATTTTGTTATGATATAATTTTGGACCTAAGTGTATAGGAGTTTTCAACATTATTTCTTTTTTTTGTGTTGCAATAATTATTTGTTTATTTTTATTTCTAGTATCATATTCATAACTTTTATAAATGGTCGAATATTTGTTTTTATGGAATTCTAGTATACCATTATACCAAAATAGTTTTTTTATATCTAAAAGTTTTGATTCTATAAACAGCGATTTGGAGGAATGTGGTAAAGGTTTATTATGAATTCTTTTTATGAATAGTTTTTGTATTACTTGTAAAGCATTTAGATGGTTATTATTCGTGGATCCCCAGATAATAAATCCATAGGTTATGTGGCATTCAACTAATGTTTGATATAACATTTTAAATTGACTTTCATTGAAAATTCGTCTGTAATATCTGAATTTATATAATAGAAATCTACGTTTCTTTTTAATGTATTGGATATGTTCATCCCAACGAAGATGACAGTTTAAAACAATTCCGAGATATTTGTAGTAGTAGTAGTAGAAAGATTTATTTTGCACATTTGGCTACATAAACAGAATAATTGTAAACAACTTAGAACTAGTAAATTCAAGCCATATGGTGTATGATGTAAATGCTGGGCAACCTATAATTGTAGATTTAAACAAGTGATTTCTCAATTTTACTTTAAATTTTGTCAAAGTTTTCTGGTCTTTTATCTCTGAGTATAAGTTATTATATTCAATCAACCGTTGATGGAATACAGATTTGTAGCGTATGTTATACTTTTTGGTCAATAAATGGAAGTCATCTTTATTTCTGGTATTATGTAAATGATGGTCGACATTTGATGATGTTAAATTAGTTAGACTTGATGGAAATATATTATTTTTTACTTTATAAATGAATATCACTACAAGATATTTGATAAATTTTTTTACATTGAGGCATTTTAATTTGCTAAGCATTTGCCTAATTGGAGTATATTTATCTTTATTTAGTATTATTCTCATGCACTTATTTTGTAAAATTTGCAGTCTTTCAAAAATGGAATTATTTGCTAAATATAGAATAGTCGAACAGCACAAGAAATTTGGAAGAATAATGGTATTATAGATATATGCTATATGAACAGAAACTCTCGATAAATATCCCACTTTACTACTAATCTTATTTATAACTTTTTCATAATGAATATCAAAAATTAATCGAGAGCCAACAGGTATTTAAATTTTTCTACGAATTCAATATCTTCACCATCAATATTCAGTTGAACATTTGTACATTGTTTTTTCCTATTAACAAGGCTTTCGTTTTACTTGTATTTAATTTTAGTCTGTTAGATGCTAACCGTTTTGAGACAAGTTTCAAGTCTTCATTTATATAAGAGACACCAGTCTGAATATTTTTAGTACTTATATAAATCATAGTGTCATCGGCGAAAATCTGAATTTAGCATTTTTTGACTATGGTAGGTAAATTATTTATGTATAAAATAAAAAGAAGTGGTCCCAGGATACTGCCCTGTGGAATACCCAACCTATTTTCAATTTTTGATGAAATAGTGTCATTAACTTTTGTAACTTGCATCCTTTTAGACAAATAATTTCTAAACCAATCTAAAACACTTCCTGTTATGCCATATGCCTTCAGTTTACCTAACAAAATATCTCTATCAATCGTTTCAAATGACCTCTTCAAATCCAAAAATACTTCTATGACAACTTCTTCTGAGTCTATGGCTCTTCTCCAATTCTCAGTTACCAACTGGAAAGCCGTTTCTGCGGAATATTTTTTTCGAAAGCCTGCTTGCGCCTCCACTAAAATTTTGTTTTCTTCTATAAACTACATTAATGGTCACATATCGCTGCATCTTTTAGAATTTTTTATTTTGGGAACTGGTGTTATTGTAGAGCATTTCAAATTTTCAGGAAAAGAACTGCTTCTCAGTGAAGAATTGATCCAATTTAATACAGGATATCCAAAAATTTCGAAACAGTTTTTCAGCACGTTTTTAGTAGTGATTTCGGAACAGTTGTTTTTTGATTTTAAACTGTTTACTTTTTTCTTAGATAATTCAATGATTTAGTTTACGTGATATACCTATATTCATTTTATACTAAATTAAATATTCAAAAATAGGTGAATTGTGGACAATGCCAAATCTGCAAACTCTGGGCTTTTTTTAAGGAACACTCTCAGGAATTGAAATAATGCAAAAATTTCATATATGCTATCAACTTCAAATTTGAGTTATTTTTACGGCCAAAAACCTCGCTTACAGGCCCTTGTCGTTTGAGTTAGTCATATTTGGCTCAATATCATTATGTTTACACTGCATGTAGAAAACACCGAAATGACGGAAACCACTTATTTTATTAGCTTTCCAATAAAATGTATTTAAAAAACGAGAGCTTTACCTTAGTAGTAGTACTTGTGGGACAGTCTGATTGAGTAATGCAGCAATGTTTCTTGACAGGTTTATATGATATGGCTAGACATGCGGTCGAAAGCACAGCACAATCAGAAAATAAAATCACCTGGTCCGTCATTAAAGAATCCATGAGCAACATTTTGTATCAGCTGAGCAGTATGAAGTTCAAGGACCCCGTTAAAGATGGAGAGGCGAAAATCAAGTCTGATTTCGATCAGCTCTACGAGGATATCCAACAGGCCTTCAGGAATTTAGAGGACTAGATCAATTTTGATGTAAGTATACTCGGCATTTTCTACTAACATTTCGTAACATTTTAAGAGGCAGTGGATCATGAAGCATATTTGAAAAATTCGTCTTAGCAATGTGAAAGCTGGATGAGGAAAAAATGGATTGTAAGTTAGGTATTAGTTCAAAGATAGCAGATGCGATATTATTTGAGGAAAACTGAATATAATTTGAAATCTTATCTCGACTTCAAATATTAATTAAATTTTCAAGAAGAGAACTAAAAGAATCAATTACAGTTTTTACTTTGCTCGCCAAATGGTGAGGGAAAATACTGTAAATGATAAAGATTTTTGTTGTATAATATAGTTTTTTGAAGCCAGCCCATTCTTCAAGTCAGAGAAGATTGCCCAGATATTGGAGAATTTTGGGCATGTTACTGAGAATGAAAAAATTTTGTAGATGCTCAAAATTGGTCTAACAGTGTCGAAATTATGAGCCAAAGACAAAAGCTCATATTGAAATAAGACAACATACTGCCATCTATTACCAGAATCGACCACTGCGAGAGTGAAACAGCAAGCTGTGAGTTCGCATTTGACATCCGGGTCACCACTGTGGCCGCTAGATGCCGCCGATTCTGGTGGTATAGTAGCTGTTTCGTGCTGTCCATGGTTGGCCGTCTGTGGTCGAACGGACGAAAGTTCGTTCAATGGCGAGTAGACCATATCTACCATATCACCAGAATCAGCGGCAACTAGCGGCCACAGTGGTGACGCGGATGTCAAACGCGAACTGACAGCTTGCTGTTTCACTCACAATGGTGAATTCCGGTAATAGATGTCACTTTGTGCTGTGTTATTTCTATAGATGTCCTGGATAGAGGATGGTCGCTCAGCTATTGTTCGTTGTCCCATCAGAGGATAAGCCTAGACCACAGCCCTGTTCGTACAGATTTCGCCAATCTGACAGGGATTGTGTCCAAGATCCCATCACACAAATTTCGTTCATTCTGATACGCTATATAGACGGAATTCACACGGCCGGATCTCAGACAGTGTCTCCGACCACTGTAAGAACTAACCTCATGCTTGCGAGTTGGCCGTCTGCGGTTGGATGGACGAAAACTACAGTTAGGTGCAAAACTGAGTCAGTACCTTATGATTTAATAAAAATAGGCGTGTAAAGCTGGGATTAACTACTAAATAATAAAAACATAATTATATTTGAAAACCTTATTTACTTTAATTAAGGATAACCCTCATCCAATCACTTTCAGTCCAGTTTATATATTGTTTAACGAATTATTTTTCAGATTTATTTTTTTTGTAAGGGGAGGTTTCTTTTTCTTCTCTACAGCTCGCATATTCATATTGTGTAATGCACGACGAACATTCCACTTACTCGCTGACGTGCCAGTATCTTGCCTTAACACATTCGCTGCCGCTGGCTCTTATAAGAGTCAACGCGAGATGTTCGCCGGTGCCGCTGATTCTTATCAGAGCCAAGGTACAATACTGGAGGCACTCAAAGGCACAAATTAGTAAAACGTGATTTAGATGGTAAAAAACAAGTATCCAGAAAAAGATGCCATTCTTGTGACAAGAAGGGAATCCGTACCCAAACGATGTACGAATGTAGAACATGCCCTGATGTTCCAGGATTCAGCTTGGAGGGCAGTGATATTATTCAAAAATAATTTTTTGCACTAAAAATAGTCTGCCTTCACCACACATTTGTTGTATTCTAAAAAAAAATTTTTTTTATATCGATGCAGCCGCGCAGGCAGAAACCTAAATGCTGGAACACCTCGGCTGCTATGATGATCCCAAATAAATTTTGTTAATACGATTAGTAGAACTGGGAAAAGCTTCCTGTTGTAGATTGTTCCACAATCTCGATACCCTCGGGACAAAGGAGCGGCCGTATCCGACAGTTCTGGATGTACGGAGTTCGACACGGTTAGGATGGGACGCCAAAGTCAAGCGGGTCTGTCTGGCAGGCACATCGCGCGGCGCCATCATGGAAGAGAGCTGTGAGGAGCAAAGCCCGTTGGTGTAGCGGTAGAAAAGACCTAGATCGCCGACGGCCCGCCCTAAACAAATATCTTAGCTTTTTCTGCAGCTGCGGCTATTGACGAGATGTGTTCGTGCCAGATCAGGTCCTCGGTGATCTGGACTCCGACCAGCCGAAATGAATGGCTCTTTGGCTTTTTGTTCGTCAAAGTACAGTATTGTGTTTTGGAAGCATTGAACTGTACAAGATTGTTGCGTCCCCAAGCAGTGATAGCCTCCAGGTCTTTTGTCAGAGAGGAAGTCTAACTTTTATATCGTGCTGGTTTTTGGCATTGCGAACCGCTTCGTTATATTTGTTTCTGGACTCGACTTCGGCTTGTCTGTTCTCTACAGTGGGGTTTTGTAAGGTGGTTCTGTGTGCCTTGATCTGCTGGCGAGCAGTGTCACACGATTTGTTAAACCAGCCGTTGGACCCTGGTTTAGGCACTTTCACTGTGTGAGGGATGTATTCCTCCATTCCGACGTGGATAATTTCGGTTATCGAAGAACAGGCAGCCGACGCATCCGCGTCAGTGAAACAGACATCTCTCCAAGGAAAGCTATAGAAGAAGTCTCTGAGCCTCTCCCAGTCGGCATGTCCGTAATGTCAAGTTTTGCGGCCTGTACGAGTTTCTGCTGCCACAGCGGGTACCGACCGAAACCTAACCTCCATAACACCGCGGTCTGAGTTACCCAGGGGGGACAGGACAGCAGTGCTGTAAGGGACAGGATGCGTGGTCAGAGATCCAGCAGGCTACTGACGTGTGACGAGAGGCGGGGGAAAAAGTAGGGCACATCACCAGCTGGGTCAGCCCTCGAGTAAGAGCGAACGCTTAGACTGCACGACCTGCTGCATCGGTCTTGTTTGAGCCCAATCAAAGCTCATTATGGGCATTGTAATCACCAAGAAGAACTACCTTTGTAGCGGGCTGATTGATGTTCAGGAAGTCGATCTGGATGGCGAGGTATTCGAGTAGGTCATCCCAGTTTTGGTCCGAGGGAGAGTGATAAAGGCAGCAAATAAATTTGGGTGATGTTTTGGAGTTGAGGCGAAGCCACATGTCCTTCCGGTCTGATTCCAAAAAAATATCTCTGGAGCAAGAAAGACTGCTGCGTACAAGAGCTACAACTCCCCCGTTCTTTCTCAGATTGTAGTGCACCTCGTAGTTTGGGAAGTTAAGATGGTTAATCGGTGCAGACTCTGAGATTTTTGTCTCCGCCAAGAAAAGCACGGCGGGACGATTGGATTGCAGGTAGTGATGAACAGCATCAATGTTGCTGTTAGTCCCGCAGATGTTCGAAAAACAAATTTTATCTTCGATGTTGTTCCCTCGAGCCGACCCTCCACCCGGACATTCCGAGAGTGGAGTGAGTTTACGTCCGGAGTGCTTAGTGCTCGAGGGATCCATCATCATTAATTTCTTTGTTTTGGAACATAACCGACTGCATAGCTTAGGTATGGAAACATGCGGACATTTATAAGCCACCCTGGGAAAAGCTAGGCAGGTAAAGTGGACCGTTGGCGGACTTGTACCGCCACCCGGCAATCGGTACTAGGGTTGTTGAGGAAGTGATTATGAGGAAGAGGAGGAGGAAAAGGAATTGTCACGCGCAAATTTAGAGGATGCGGATGAGGAAGAGGATATTTTTTGAGGAAGAGGAAGCGGATGAGGAAGCGGATGAGGTAGAGGAAATTATAAATATTAGCGGACCCAACCCAAAAGCCGCTGTTCTGTCTGTACATAACTAGGTACATATGTACATACACAAAATTAATTAAAAGGGCATTTTTCAGTGGACCAAACTATGAATCTAAACCATTCCAGCAGTTTAGGAGGAGTTCGGTAACATACACAACACACGTACACATGAGTGAATGATACAATTTTATTTAGGAATTGAAATGAAAATAAATATGCAGTCTTTATTTCTTTATTAATTGCTTAAGTCGAATATTAACTGTCAAAATAAAAGAACTGAATACTAATAATCAAACTTAATTATAGGGAGGTTAATTTTTATAAAAATTAATTTGGACGCTGTTTCCCCTGACAACCGGTTTCTTAGCTCATCATATACCAATCCAGCATTGCTAAAAAGTCGTTCGCTTGGGACACTTGATGGAGGAGAAGATAGGTATTGCCGTACAGCTCCGTAAAGCTCCGAATATTTCGGATTATTTTTCCACCATAGAAGACTGTCTTCATGCATATTAATTCGTTTTTCTCTAATGTAGTTAATTAATAGTAACTTCAGTACCACGGATCTATCTTCTATTGGTAAACTTTCAATTTCATCGTCACTATTTAGCTCAGAGGCTAACATTTCGGCTAACATTGAATCTACAATTTTTCCCGTGGAAGTGCTGGCTGTGGGGCAGGATGTGTCTACTACAGCCCCAGAACTAGTGGATGGTTGATTGTGGACATCCATGACGACATTGTCTATTGGGCGTTGGCTGGTTGATGTTAGTACTGTTAGTAGCGCTAATTCAATACGTTCTTTAGTTATTTCATTAAAAAATTTCGTTTTGTATTTTGGATCCAAATATGTAGAGATGGCGTAGAGATTATTATTATGAAGCTCACCGAAGCGGTTGTTAATCTCTTCTATCAGTTTTTGGATGACATTTTTGCAATCTTGGTCATTACCAATGTTATCTTCTCTCAAAAAATTTTGCATTGCACATACTAAGACATGAATCAGTGGTATAACAGAGGATATACATGCCTCAGTGCTGCTCAAAGATTTAGTTACCTCTTCAAAGGGTTTCAGAATCCTCGTACAGGTTTCAAGTTTTACCCAATCACTTGGTACAAGTTGCGGCAAATTTGGGTGTTGCGATGTATATAATATGATAGCATCCTTTATCTTAATAAGTCGCTCAATCATATAAAACATGCTGTTCCACCGAGTAGCACATTCTTGGATAACTGACAGCTGAGGTAAACCTAGGCGTTCTTGAAAGTCGTTCAATTCCTTTTGTCCAGTTATAGAGTGATTGAAGTGCGTCGCAATCTGCTTACATTTAGCCAACAGCGTTGAGAAATGTTCATTAGACGCCAAAGCTGAACGTACACACAATTGTAATTGATGTAAGGTGCAATCTATATCGTCGATTTGTGAGATACGGGCAGCTCGTTTCATATTAGATCCACCGTCACGGACCATTGCATGTAGCTTTTGCCGAGGAATGTCCCATTCCTCTAGTATTTCGTCGAGTTTTTGAGCTACCAGATCGCCCGTGTGTCGTTCTTCGAGAGTGACACATTTAAGAACTAAAGACACTCTTTTGAAATCATCATTAATGCCGTGGACCGTAAAACTAAGAAGAGAAGCACCAGCTCCAGGCTCTGTCCATATGTCAGTAGTGAAAGACACGTATTCCAAATCTTTTATCAAGTTTTTAATCTTTTCATAAAGTTTAGGATAAACGTAATTACACAAATGCGAAGTATATTACTGACGTTTTTTTAGATCATATTTAGGCTGTGCGGCTTGGACAAAACGTCTAAAACCAATACCTTCAATGAAATTGAAAGGCAAATCTTGCAATGCAATCATTTCGCAGATTAATTTATCTAGCTCACGACTTTTTTCATGTGATGAATCCCAGCACTGGTGTTTCATTAATGACTCTTGTAAAGTAACTTGCCTCTTGACCAACTGAAGAGAAGTTTCTTCTGTGCACTTACGTTTCTTTTCCACTTCAGCCTTTTTCGAAGCCGCATCGCATTTTTCATACTCCGTATATTCCGTTTTATGACGTGACTGGAGATGACTCCGTAGCCCAGAAGTCCCGCGCCCTTTTCTTGAATATGTTTGATTGCACAAGTTACAACGCACCGCACAGTCTGATCGTCTACTTCATTAAAGTACGTCCATATAGCACTACACTTCGGTCTCATTTCGATTTTTGATAAAAGAAATCAAATTATTAGATTATATTATTTGCACTGCGTGTATAGTTGCATACGCGCGTAAACAAAACAACGCTTGCTATTTGCTATTTCAATAAAATTAAAACAAGTTGAAACAAGCAAAGAAAAGCACGGGTGGCGGGAGGGGAGGTCTCGCTCGCCCGTTCCGCCCGGCATCGCGCTGCGGCGTGTCAGTTACCATGGATACGCGACGCGCATGCGCAGTGAAATTCCTCATAAATTCTTCTTAAATTTTGAGGAAGCGATAGCGGAAGAGGATTATTTTCATTTTTATTATGAGGATGCGGTAACGGTTGAGGAACCCAAAATATTGCGGAACTTCCGCATTATGAGGAAGCGGAAGAGGAATCCTCAGCAACCCTAATCGGTACTGAGGTATGCCTTAACGCATGTAGAATCACTTGAACGGGAAGAAGTTGTATACTGGATACAACAACTTCCGGAACAAGCATTTGCCACGGATCCGCCCAGTAGGGATGAAAAAAGTTGTTAATTTCTTACTTTTGATTAGATTTTATCACATTAGGTGTATTATTTACCGGAAACATTTTTGTTATACTTTTATATGTTCTCTAATACCTCAATAACTGATTTTACGAAGTTATACTACCAAAATAACAAATTAGCCATTATACAACTAATTGGCTCCTGGGTAAAACCAACCGAAAAAAGGTGGCAGTCAACGTGTTAAAAGCCGCTTCCGATGCTAAAGACGCTTCACTTGATCTTAAATAGTGACTAAGTTTCTTACCTCTCTATCAAATAACTTTTTAGTACGACCACCAACATTACTGTTCATAGGTAATTCACACTTTGCTTTTATTCTCGGTACAGTAGATTGACTCACGTTTAACTCTTGAGAGATAACTCTTATCCATTTTCCACTTATAACTGTTTAGCAGACTCTACAATATTCTTCGGAGTTGGTTTCATGATTGTAATGAAAAAAGCATCTATTACGTTAAAATGTTCCCTGTGCGATGTAGAAATACACTGAGTAAAAAACAAAGCAAATTTGTTTTTCTCCGCTAATCCGGACAAGTTTAAAAGTGTTTAAATACTTGAGCGCAAGGCGGTTAAACACACGGTGCATAAGTGAATCAATCAATATAA